TGTTGGGAAAGAGGTATGTGCGCACAGCTCAAGTCAAGTGAGGTCCCTGGTTGCTAAGCCATCCGTTGCACTTGCCTGCCTCCCATCCTTGTCTTTACATCTGACATAGAGTGATACAGACAAGGGGGAATGACTCTAAAGCCTGGAATAAAGTTTGATTTGAGGAAGATGAAAAAAATCCTGACCATCAGCTGCCCAACCATGTAAATATGCTTAATACTACCAAAGAGAACCCCCAGTTGGAAATGGTTGGTACTGAAGGTTTTGTGGGGGCTTTGTCACAATTAAAAATAAGTGGTTTGTTTTGTTTTTGTTTTTTTGCATGTGTTTGTTTGGGTCATTGGTTTTTCAAGACAAAATTTCTCTGTGTAACAGCCTGACTGTCCTAAAACTCTCTTTGTAGACCAGACTAGCTTCGAACACACAGAGATCTGCCTACCTCTGCCCTCCAAGTGCTGGGGTTAAAGGTGTGTGCTACCATTGCCTGGCTTAAAACCCAATGTTTTTAAAGCAGAGGTTATTTGAGTTGCTCTTGGCCTTCACTGTGGATGCCGCTGAGAGCCCGAGCCCCCAAGCATCTGTCTGCTTTTCACACATAGCACTAGAGAATTAACAAATAGAATGGTAGCTTAATTTTTAATTTTGTTATGTCTTTTTCTATTTTTCACTACATATAATATTTTGAATACTTGAAGTACGATTAATAAAAACTCAGAGACAGATATTGGGGTTCAACCTGAAGCCCAGAAAAGCAAAGCAGCCAGTCACTTCTTACCTCAACCTCAGTCCGAAAATGGTGATCCTGCCTCCAGGAATCTCAGAATGAGATTGAGCTGTCTCCTCCTGTCTTGTTCCTCTCTAGCTATGGGACTAACGGTGTGCACCACTACTACCTAGTTTCTAAGGCAAGAGAGTGTGGCTACTGGAATTAAAGGTTGTCTAGTCTGTAAGACTGGCCAGTGTGGCTGTTTTACTTTTCTGATTCTCAGACAAGCTTTATTTATTAAAATACAAATGAAATGTCACTACACATACTTATGAACTATAGCATACTCCAATACATGTATACAATAAGTAATAATAAAATATATGATTAGCATTTCCATCAGTCCACCAACACAATAATCCAAATCAGACCAAATCAAACCAAATTAGAAAAAGTCCAAGTTTAATGGATACCAATGCTCCTGGGTGGCCTTCCAGTCCCTCAGAGAGGAGACAGGAAAGGAAGACCAGAAAACCACGGGTTTGTTCTCTGGAATGCAATTTAAATACCCTGTGGGAGTGGTCTTGAGCATCCCTGGGGAGGAGGTCATTGTTTGGTGGGCTTTCTGGGAGGTGGAGTCTGGACTGAGGCAACTCCCAGGGGAGGGAGCTTAAGATGGAATTTCCACCCAAACACTCCAGACTCTTTGGATATATGGATGCCAATGGCTGTGGTGTGGCCTTAACCCAAACATTTTATACTCTTTGGGGTATATGGATGCCAGGGGCTGAGGTGACACTTCCAACAAAACATCCCAGACTCTTTGGGTATAGGGGTACCAGGGGCTGGGGTGACGCTTCCACCCAAACATTCGTCATTTCTTTGTGTTGTATCACCAATAAATGAATAAAGTGGGCATATGAACAAAATGGAACCTTTTCTTTTATCTCCTTATTTCTTTTATGAGTGCAAGTGTTTGCTTGCATGTGTGTTTGTGTGTCTGGTACTTGTGTAGGCCAGAAGAAAGTACTGGATCTCCTGTTTGTTTAAAAAATGTTCAAGTGGTCATGGTTATTCTTATGTTTTCGTGACAATAAAAACTAGAGGAGGGGGAAAAACAAGTGTCATGCTAGTCCCAGGAAAGAGAAATTTTTAAAAAGGCATCTGTAGGTTAAAAGACTTGCATAGAAATTGAGAACTTGGGGATACTAAATGCTATGATATTTAGAAAAATCGTATTAACTTTTGCTGGTTGTGGTAGTGGTATATTGGCTATTTTTGGAAAGGGGGTGCCTTTCAGAGCAGAGACGTGGTTGCAGATGTGATCGGATGACCACTTGGGAAGGCGATGAGAGGGACACAGGAAAACAGACTCTTCATGTGCTGGTGAAAGTTAAAGCTGAGTAACGGGGACATCAAGCTCATGACCACATTGCTTGATTATTTTTTATATATGCTTGACATTTTCCATAATAAAGATGAAAATAGCAACAAAAAGTTAACCATGCCAGCTTTTCTTCAAGACACTTCTGAATATCATTAGGCAACTGATGAAAGTTTTCAAAATGGACAACAGAAAAAATAAAAAGAATCTAACTTTAGAAAAATGATTGCATTTTCCATGGATCACAATCCTAAAACACTGCAAGATGAGTGACAGCCATGGTAGCAAAAGGAAGCAAAGAATGGTGGTCAGGAGACTTGCAGGAGCAGGCTGCCCAGGTCACAGTCCAGGTGCACCACCTACTGGTGGTAAACTCCAGTGATGGCCTCGGCCCTAAAATGCATACACCAGCCTGACAGATTGCTGTGAGGCTAGGTCAGTCAATATTCATAAGGAATTTGGGCCAAGAGCTGGCATCCGATGTTATGTTATCCCAGCAATCTCCCCTCTCTGTGACTTTGCCTTCTTTCCCTTTCCTTGAAAATCAAAACTCAGCTGGGCAGTGATGGCACATACACCTTTAATCTCAGCACTTGGGGGGCAAAAGCAGGTGGATCTCTGTGAGTTTGAGGCTAGCCTGGTCTACAGAGTGAGCACTGGGACAGCCAGGGTTACACAGAGAAACCCTGTCCCAAAAGAAAAAGGAAAGGAAAGGAAAGGAAAGGAAAGGAAAGGAAAGGAAAGGAAAGGAAAGAATTCCAGATTGATTCGCTCATCATTCTGAGAAATATACCTCCCTGGTCCTCAGGCCCTGGTCTTTGACTGGCACCTGCACCTGAGTTCTCCTGATTCTCATGCCTGAGCTCTTGCACTGAGCCATACCACTGTTTTCCAGGAGTCTGCAGCTTCCGGGTGTCCTATGGCCAGATTCTTCAGCCTCCACCATGTGGGAGTCAGTTCCCCTAATCAATCCCCTCTCTATCCCTTTCTACACCAAGCAGGTTTTGCCCCGCCCACCCTGGTTCTCCCCTGCAAGCCGACTTCGCGACAGTCCACAGAAGCAGACACAACCCAGAGACAAAGAGCAGATCCCAGAGCATACATGGCACTAGAGGTGTGCTGTTCAGAGTTCTGTGAGGTCAAAGTGTGACGGAGAAGCAGGGACGCCCACCATTCCAGACATGCTCATCCTTCTTCCTCATCACATAGCTCCTGGGATAGCCATCATACGTGTCAACGGTCAATGGTATGAGACACTCAAAGGAAATAATTACCTGTAGGAGACTCAGTTTAAAACACTGGAGGCACCAGGCTTGTCAAACACATGGTCCTATTTTCTTCAATGGAAGGAAATGAAAGATGCCTGGTCCCCTGGAATGCTGGAGTGAAAAAGGTCAAATGACCTGGTGATGCTTTGCTATTCTGTGGGGCAAGCCTCCATCCGAACTTCCCCAAAATCCTGACCTTTGTCACTCAGTGACTAGAACTCGTCCTTATGAAAGAGGCCCCTGTGGTAGTTTAAATGAAATTGGCCCCCATACGCTCAGAGAGGCACTATTAGGAGGTGTGACTTTGTTGGAAGAAGTGTGTCACTGTGGGTGCTGGCTTTGAGATTTCCTATGCTCAAGATACCGCCAGTGTCTCAACTGACTTCCTATTGACTGCAAGATGCAGAATTCTCAGCTATTCCTCCAGCACCACATCTGCCTGCATACCACCATGCTCTCCACTGTGATAATGGGCTGAACCTCTGAACCTGTGAGTGAGTCACATCAATTAAATGTTCTCCTTTATAAGAGTTACCATGGTCATGGTGTCTCTTCACAGCAAGAGAAACCCTAAGATAGTCCCATGTACTTTGCACTCATCAACAGATCCCATCCTTAATGCTTATTACAAACCTCTCCTCTCTAGGCCATAGCCGCCAGCAGTTTATCAGCCAATAGAACTCATTCTTACTGCAATGGTCAGGGTTCTTTGCGACTTTGCTAGGGAGTTTCTATGTAGCTATGCCTAAAGCTTTGTTGTGGTAACTGTCATGTGGAACCCTTTTTCCAAAGTTTTACTGTGCTTAAAAGTGTAAGAAAAGCAAACCGAGAGGCCAGACTCTGGACGTTTTGACCCAGCGCCTATAAAATTTGGTGCTGACTGAGTTTTATTCTTCGCCCCACACGGATCATCTCCCAGGAAGCCCTGAGGCTTGAGGGGTCCCTGACCATCACCTACCTGCCCACCTGTGTCCAGGGTCCATGCAGAGTCCTTTGCTGTGACTTCACTGAACTGTTTCCTTTACACTGATATGGCCCTAGCCCTCCCTTTACCCAGCCACCAGCTTTGCTCTGTGCAGCGTTTTTCTTCCATCACTGGGTTCGAACTCATAATTAAAAACTCTTTGCTTTTGCATTGGATCTGGTCTCTTGATGGTTTTGGGGGGTCCAGACTCTGGGCACAACACTTTGACGTTTCAGAAGCCCAAGTCAGGCAGTGTCTCTCTCTTCCTGCTACCTGTACCATGTCTGCTTGCATGCCCATGCTCCCCACTGTAATGAAAATGGACTAAGCCTCTGAAACTGTGAGCCAGCCCCAATTCGAGGCTTTTCTTTATAAGAGTGGCTGTGGTCATGGTGTCTCTGCACAGCACAGACTGCTGACTAAGGACACGCCTCTTCCTTTCTTTAACTTTGCATTGCACTCCACGACCTTCCTCTGCCAGATCCCGTTTCTGCCATCTTTACCTTGCCCAGGTAAAGTGCCTCAGTAAAGCCGGCTGTCTTGTTGCAGTTTAAATCCTGCGTCCCAAAGGCCCTAACCCAGCGCTACTGAGGAAGAAGCTGCTTCATCCCCTCATCACCACCCGCAAGCCACAAAGCTGGGAAAAAATAATAATAAAGAACGACAGAGAGGTACGTATATCATTCTATATTTAAATGTTCACTATAATAAATAAATGTCTTCATACTAAAAAAAATACACTCTAAGTCATGTGACACCATATACACCTTTCATCTCAGCACTTGGGAGGCAGAAGCAAGCTGAGTTCAAGGCCAGCCTGCTCTATAGAGAGTTCCAGGACAGCCAGAGCTACACAGGGAAACCCTGTCAAAAAAAAAAAAAAAAAACCTCAACTTCCTCCTCCAAAAAAAATTTAGTCATATAAAAAAGCTATATATAAAAACTCATATCAGAAATGATCTCAAAAATTAAATTTGTGGTTCTATGGGGACAAGAGGCTCCATCCAAACTGCTCTCTCTTCTTGCCCGTGAACAAGCTCCACCCGGTGTCACAACTCAGGGAATTTCTCCAGGGTCATCCTGGTCTGGGCTGGAAGGTGTCCAGATTAGGTCTAAACATCAATTTGTCACAACAGAGAACTGTCCAAAAGGAGAGCCTCAGTGGAGGGACTGCTTGAGGGCAGCGTGTGTGAGGGACTGTCCTGGTTGTTCATGGGTGTAGAACCCAGCCTACAGTGAGCGGTACCTTCCGTAGGCAAGCGGTCCTGAACCGTATGAATGAGCTGAGTATGTACAGCTGTGAGCCAGTTAGCAGGCAGCACCCTCCACGGTTCCTGCTATGCTTCTTTGGCTGTGAAGTGACTTCCTTGGTCAGAGGTAATGCTGCGGGGAACAGCAAGCAGCTCTACCTTCAGGTTCCAGCCTTTGCCTCTCTGTGATAAGCTGTGACCTGGAACTATAAACCCAACCAAGTCTTTCCTCCTGTAAGTTGCTTTTGGTCAGTGCTTTATCCTGGCAACAGGAATAGAATTAGGACAGGCCTTTCCCATGCCCACCTAAGACTGTAATGTCTAGCCCTAGATTACTGTACTTGGCCCTGGCAGCAGACACTTCGCACCTCCTACCTCTGTCTGCACCCCAACTCAGTAGCGCAGCACAGAGTAGGGAACTAGTGACTACGCAGGACCCATCCCCACAGTGACCTGCAGACTACAAACAGCACCTCCTGTAAGACTGCACTGGACATGGGCACCCCGGAAGAAACACTTGGAGGTCCTGTTACAATCCTTCTTCCATTTGCACACGACACCACTCCAGGACCCAGTCCCTTGTGATAGCGGCAGGACCAGGGCCCTCTGAGGTAGCAGTCCATACACAGAGAAGACATAGAGGTCCCGTCTATCTCCTGCTCTGCTTCTCCTCACGGGAAAGACTTCTTGGCTGCTGGTGGGAGCAAGAGGCCTAACCGTCTCTTCTGTTAGGTTGAGCCGAGCCAGGTACCGAGGCTAAGCCCTCTGGCAACCATACGCAGAATCACCAGCCAGGAACCCGAGGTCGGCCAGAGCTCCAAGGGCTGGCATCCAACTTCTCTGGGAGCTTTGGCTGGGACAACGGCTTTGGCTTTCCTCTCTGGTCCAGGTCCTGGGAGAGATCTTCCAAGGAAGAGATCTCCAAGTCACTCTCATCCTCAGAAAGCTGCAGAGGTAAAAGAGGAGGAGAAGATGGATTTTGATAAGCGCAGGAGGATGATAGAGCGTTCAGCAGCATCCAAGACAGAAATGGGGGAAAGTGATGCCTCAGACTAAAGCGATGAGAAGAGGGGACTCCTGGTCCTGCCTTCTAAGCTCCCCACCTCTGAAAACCTGCATCAGAGACTCAGGGCCACAGCGATTGAAACAGGGCTGGATTCCTACTAATGAGGCCAAGGCAAGCACCCTGGAGAGGTTTACGGGTGGACCTGGTAGTTCATGTTTGCATGTAAACCTGGGCGTGTTCCCACCACCATCTATCTGCAGTAGACTATTAGTGCCCACCCACAGCAGAGAAGACAGGGAGCTCGGAGATGCTTACACATGCTCCGTGACGAGACCGACACAGTGTGTGATGAAAAGATAGACGGAGTGATAGTATATGCAGATTTTAGCTCCTCACATTGACAGAACTGGAAGCCTCTAACATTTGACGCTCTTGGGATGAATGCACCTTAGTCGAAAGGACCCCTCCTCACAGACTGGTGCTCAGAGCTGCCTGGAAAACGCTGAACTTGAGAGGAGATGGGAACAACATTCCAGCTATTTTATCCTGGCATACAAGAAGAGCCCATCCAGGGCCCGGACAACACCTCCGTCTAATTTAAATTATTGGTGCTCTTTCTAAATGGAGAGCAGGAGAACTGGGGACTCTACACAAACTCCAAGATGAGCCAAACATACCTACTGTGTGATAAGAAAAGGTATGTCGGGGTGCTGTTAGAAAACACGAAGCGGGAGACTACGGGGACTGCTCAGTGACAGTGTCTGTGTAGCGGGTGGGAGGCCCTGGGTTCCATCAGCAGCACTAAAAAGACAACCGCTCACTCCTCCTCTGTTGCTTAGGGCAGCATCTTCATCCTCTGCAAATGGAGTGGCGGGAAAGAGTTCTCTTTTCCCACCCTAGAAGGTAACAGAAAGTGGCAGCTGTTCCCTGAGGGAGGGACAAGGTGGCTAAAAAAGAGTCTGGCGCTCGTGTGAGTGCTAAGTCTGCACCTGAGGGAGGGCAGCCACCAAGGTGTGCAGCAGTGAGGCACCCACCACCTTGAATAGTTGGAACAAGCTGTCTACATGTCCCCGTCTGACATGCTGTAAGGTACCACTCTGATAGTGGGCAGTGCTTTATACCCAGCCCCTTTGGGGGTCTTCTGTGAAGTAAGGGCTGGGGAGGGGCCCAGTATGGAAGAGATAGCACAGGAAGACAGCAACCACAACAGGAGGCTCTCAGAGGCAGGAGACTAGAAAATAAATCTCCCCAGAAAGAACTTATCTAATGAACCAAAGGGTTTTTTTTTAACATCCAAAGTGGTCATCTTTCCACATACAGAGGGACAAAGGAGACAAGGTCACATGCAATGTCCTTCTCGGGACATGTCAAAGCAGACACTTGCTCAGTCTTTCCCCAGCCTTCACCCCAGAGCCCACACATTTGGAGCTGGCTCTCCATGGAATGTAGGGCCATCTTTAAGTGTCCTACCTGAGACTTCCTTGCTGGCGTGGAAGACCTCTGAAGAGCAGCGTTGGGCCTTAAGAACATGCTGACCCCTCCGGAGGGCTTCTTCACTGGCGTTTCAAGCTGCTTCTCAAGGTTTTTGACCATCGACTGCACCAGAGTTCCTGGAAGGGGGCAAGGAGTCACATTAGTGGGATGAGCCTGGGAAACAAATGCTTCGCCCCTTTGGACCATATTAGTCTCCAACCTGGACAGAAAGAATGGAGCAATAGTCAAGAGGAAGAAGACAAAATTAGTGTCTCTCCCCACCCAAAAAAAAAAAAAAAAAAAAAAAGAGGGAAAAGGAGACAGGGAAGGCCCAGGCTAAAACTAGTCTGGTTATATGGGCTTAGAATGCTTTGGTAATTAAAAAAATAAATAAATAAAAATATATAAAAATAAGAATGCCTTGATAATGTGACTGCTGACTTATGAAATGGCTGCTGGTGGACACTGTCCCTCTGATGAATCTGAGGGGGGCTTCTGTTTAATTCGCGAACTACAAAGATTGTACAGGCAGGTGACGTATGACGGTTAATCTTGTCTGACCGACTGCAAACCCCACTGCTTGTCCTTCCAGCTTTGCAAAGTGAAAACTGTAAGCCTCACATTCCCTGACTCGGCCAGAGCTAAGAAACACAACCTAAGGCAGAGGCCTCACTTCTGTCCGTAGTTTTCTAAGGGAACCTTGAATGGCTGGGAGCAGACGCCACTACTCTGAGAAGAGAAATGTTTGACTCGTCACTATAATGACCTACTAGATAAAGCATGGTAAGTTTAAAGAATTAATAATGAACCCCAATTAGCAGAACCCTTAGCTTAAGTCTCTATAAAGCACTTTTCATCGGCAAGTGGCATCCCTGCCTGTCACTGAAGAAAATGCCAAAGAACTTTCTTACCCGGATAAAATGCTACAGTTGCTGTTGATGGAGACACCCTCTGGGTTCCAGCTACCTTCTATCTCTCCCATATAGCCCCAAAAGGGACCTATTCCTTAGAGGGCCTTCTCTACTAGATAAAACCTCCAACGTTTAGACAACTCAGAGACAAAAACAGGGGGCAAAATAACTCTTGCCCAGGTCTAACTTCCTCCTGGCATTTCTGAGCCAAAGAAGAAATGCCAGATCAGAACTCCCCGGAAGAAGGTGAAGGGTTTTCCAGGGCACAGAGGAACTGAGGCCAGAGAAAGACTCACCTGAGGAAGCCAGCCCACCAGAGCCCTTGCCAGAGGGCTGGGCACTCTCCTCTGAGGTCTCAGAGTCAGACCAGCTCCAATTGCCCTCCGGCTGGGGTGCAGACCTGGAAAGAACTTTGGGGGGCTGAAGAGACACACGCTGTACAACGTCTTCTTCCGGCTCCTCTTCAGAACTAAAAGGAGGGGTACTGCTGCGAGACGAAATGAAAGGGACACAAACCAGAAAGAAAAATTTAAAAACCAGACTTTGGCTTTCCAATTTGCCCCAAGCTAGCCCTGCTCCCTCAGGCGAAGTATAATGCCCAGAGGACCTGAGGCCCCACCCTCTCACTATAGTTGTGGATTGGAGGAAGAGATGGGAAGGGAAGGGTAAATCTGCCTGGGCGGGAGTGAAGGAAGCCCAGTCTCTTCTCAGAGCTTCAGGTTGAACACTGCCTGAGTTATCTTCAATGTCCACGTCTGTCCCCATCCCACCCCTGTAATACAGAGCTCTCTAAGGGTCTAGGGCAGGCTTCCAGAGGCCAGAGGCCATCACCTCAGACCCCACAAGAGGGCAAAGTCTAGAGCTCACCTCAGCCCGGGCCCAGGGGAAACAGGGGTACTGGAGGGTCCATGCACTCTGGGGCGTGGAATGGGGGTGGACACCTGGGGGAGGCCAGGGCCATGGCTGCTATGGCTCGGACGAGCTGGTGTAGAAGGCTCTGCTGGCTTGGATGGCAGTACCACACTCAGGGTCCTGGTCTTTGGCCTGGCCTCCCTTGTGGCCAGTGTGGTCCGCTGACTTTTGACTAGAAACACAGAAAGGAATGACTTGCAGAACATGCCAATGTTGGGCCTGTAGTCCTGAAATAACACAGAAGAAAGTCTAACACCAGAAATGATGAAGCCACAGTACATTTGACAGTCGCCCTATATCTTAAGTCCCTCTACCAGGACAAAGCTCAGAGACTTGGAGAGTATTTGATGTCCCCGGGTCATGCCATCATTACAGACGACCGGAGGAGTCAACCAGTCTGCAGACCCAGGCTGACTTAGCTCCCAACCTTGAACGCAAGAGGCCCTGCAGGAAAACTCTGTTGCCACCAGAGGTCGCTGCAGGACTACACAACTACCAAGAGCTGCAGGAAAGGCTGCTGTGCCCAAGGCAGACAATTAGAAGGCAATCAGATACCACCCCTGTTTCCCATTAGGAAACAAGGGGTCCAGTGATGTTTGGTCATGGGAAGCGAACTGGAGAGAAACTGTATCACAGGAAGCTAGAGTAAGTGCTTTGCATGAAACCAACACGCAGGCAGCAGGCACCGAGTACTTCTTACTGCAATAGCTCAAGGTCAAACACGCCTGTGAGGCGCTGCTCTCAGAGGCTGTGTTTATTCATAAGTGGGGAGGGGTAAGATGAAGAGAGGAGAAAGGCCAAAACAAGCCTACTGGGAGGAAACAACAATAACTTACTGCTACTGTGCACCAGACACTAAGCGAAGCTCTTTGCATATCTCTGCTGCCCACCCCTCCCCAGCCCCCAGCCCATCTTCAGGCAGTGTCATTCTGCTTTACAGAGACTTGGAGCTATGGAGGACCTTGCCCTCAACTGCGTGGAGCAAAGTGATCGTCACAAACCTGGCCGTCCATCTGCCACTGCCTCCCTCCACTGCATCACGCAGCAAGCTCCCGAGAAAGGGACGAGGTCTAAGCCAGTGGTTCTCAACCGTCTTAATGCTGCAACCCTTTAATATTGTTCCTCATGTTGCGGCAACTCCCTACACACACACACCCCACAAGATTATCTCATTGCTACTTCATAACTGTAATTTTGCTACTGTTATGAATCGTAACTAAATATCTGATTTGCAGGTTGTCTGTTATGCAACCCTGTGAAAAAGGAGTTCGACCCCCAAAGGGGTCGCGACCCACAGGTTGAGAACTGCTTAGACTCGAAGCAGACGAGGCGAGCATCAGCAAAGGGCTTGTGGGGAATGTGAGCAGGAAGGAAAGGTCCACAAAGTGTCGTGAAGATGTGTCTTTCATCACAGTTAATGACTTGAATTCCAAAGCTAGGGAAGGGGCAATGGAGACAAGGGAGGAGCTCTCCTGACTCTCTGATGACAGCAATGGGGGGAAAAAAGGTGGTACTAGAAGCAAGACACCCTTTCTTTCCCCTGAAAGACAGAAGTCTGAGGACATTTCCATTCTTCTTCTCCAAATCCCTCTTCCTGCCCCCTCCTGAGTGTCCAGCACCCCTGTGTCTGTGTGGCTCACACCTCCCAGTCCTCCCTGCGTTCTCATGTGGCAGGGCAGGTCCTGGTACAAAGTCAAGCAAAGCAGACACTATACTAAGTTAGAGACACTTGGGCAAATGAGAAATAATTCTACTACCTCACATGATTGTATGCTAGGATTGTTTCCCCAATTCATGTGAAGGGAAAGAAAGAACAAGTTGTAAAATAATTGGTCCATGTACCAACTAAAACCATCTCTGATGTCCCCGGGAGATATATATATATATATATATATATATATATATATATATATATATATATGTGCAGGCTGCACTTGGCAAACTTTCTATGCACCTGCTGGGCATGAGACGGCATGGGCGTCATGGTCATGCCCAGCCACGACTGAGGAAAGGAACCTCACCATCCTTTAACTGTCTCAACCCAGCTCCTCCCATGACTCTGTTTCTCCAAAGGAGGACCTCAGGACTCATTTGCCCTTGAGAATTCCACAAGCTCTACCAGTCCGAAAAACATCCCCAAAGGGGGGCAGGGGAAGCTCCCTTCTCCCATGCAAACAAGCCACAGCCAGAATGGAATCCTCTCCTGTGGTCTCAAAGCCCACCTGCCCCCCTTACCTGGAGGCTGGCCTTCTGGCTGGGACACCCCAGCTGTACTCTCCCACCTCTGCTTCACCCTGCTGGTCACTTCCTTATTGAGTTTCTCCCTCAGACTCCGAAATTCACGAAAGCTTCGAGCTGTCTGCTCCCGTTGGGTTCTCAGCAGGGACTCCAGCTGTCGGAGAGTCTGAGCTGAAATTCCCTTTGTGTCCTGGAAGAGACAGACGTGCACCTTCACAGACACAGGCTCCCTCACCTTTTCCAGATAGCTGCTGACATGGAGGTACTGTGTCTGCAGCCTGTGTGGGAGGGGTGAAGTGGGGAACAGAGAGGATGGGCCTCACACATAGCCGAAAGTGTGTGAACTCAGGGTTTAGGAAGCTCTACCACAGTGCACAACATAGGATTAGGCGAAGTGCTACATCACAGTTCAATCCACTTCACCCCATAAGGGACTTGGATGAGGCGTGTTTTCCCTACATCCAACCGAATCTCAGGGGGAGAGCATAGCCTGCTTCTCTTTGCACCTCCTGGCTCTACCGTGTTCTCCCTGTTTAACAGCGTTTGGAAATTAACCTCAAAGTCCAGTGTGTACTGCTAGAAGTTGCTGGGCTTCTGCCTACCACCCACCAGAGCCCAGGACAGGGCTTGGGAGGCACCTGAATCCAAGAAGATTTATCAAAATTAAGACATTTTTAAATCAAAACTGAACACAGGACCGACATAGGATTAAGCAGCAGCTGACGACAGCATCTTTACAAAACTCAACCCAGCCATCTATGTCTGCTTGACTTGGTTTTCTAATCTTACTCACTGAAATGTAAATGGAGGGTTCAATGCTATGACACTTGGCTACTTTGATGCCATACTGTACCTTTATTTACTAATAGATGCTCTCGGGCTCTGTCTGTAGACATCTGGGAAGAGTCACAGGCCCCATACATAGATAGTGGACTTAGAGAGACACTTACGCACATGGGACTGGCCCATAGACCAGACTCAGCCAGCTGAATGTCCTCTATTGGTGATTTGGTTAAAGAGACAGGGGGAAAAGTAACCAGTGAGTGAAGAACATTGAGAGTGTCAGGATAAGATCCTGGAGCAAAGGAGAGACCTCTCTTGTCAGGACAGAAGCTATCCCGAGACAGCAAGGAACACAGAAAGAAACGGATGAGCCTGCAAGATAAACACCGACCAATCGCCTCTCTGGGTAAGAAAACTCTTTGTCTTCATTATAGGTCTCAGCCCTTAAAACTGTATCCCTTAGCCTGGTGCAACGGCATACTATGTTAATTCTAGCACCCTGGAGGCTGAGGCAGGAGGATTGATGTGAGTTCAATGATGTGGGAGTGATTTCTTATTAATAAAGAAACTGCCTAGATCCATTTGATAGGCCAACCCTTAGGTAGGCGGAGTAAACAGAACGGAATGCTGGGAGAAAGAAGCTGAGTCAGGGAGTCGCCATGGTTCTCCCACTCCAGACAGACGCAGGTTAAGATCATTCCTAGTAAGCCAGCTCGTGGGCTACACAGATTAATAGAAATGGGTTAGATCAATATGTAAAAGCTAGCCAATAAGAAACTGAAACTAATGGGTCAGGCAGTGTTTAAAAGAATACAGTTTCTGTGTAATTATTTCGGGTAAAGCTAGCCGGGTGGCGGGACACAGCCCGCTGCTCCGTATTTCAACAGTTCAAGGTCATCCTGAGCTGCACAGCAAGACCCTGTCTTTACACACATAATCGAATGACTAAGTCAACAGTAGCCCAGAAACCGACCCTCTTTATCCCCATGCCTTCCAGCTTCTCTTCCAGGGTGTCTTCCAGGATGGGCCGGAACTGCTTCAGCCAAGTGGGGTTTTGCCTCAGAGCTGCTAACACCTTCCGTTGCTCATCATGGGAGCTCTGCAGCTCTGTAGCAGGAGACAATAAGCAAGGTCAGTGCTCCCTGCTAAGCACACCAACCCTGGACCTGCCTGCCAGTGACCCTGAGAGCCCGTGTACCCGCCAGTAACCCCAGTGCCTAGAATGAGTCACTCCCACATGTCAACCCCTGGGCCAGAAGATGACATATTTTCCCTCCTGGCTCTCATTGTCTTAGACTCACCACCCAGCTTCTACACCCCCATCACCAGCCACCTAGGACATCCCAGATCTGGGCTGTCAGTTCTGAGGTCAACTCATAGCTTTGGGAATTGGAATCAAACCCTGGAAACAACTTGTTCCGTGGGCTCCACTCTGGTCTCAGATTCCAGACGGGCTCCAGCCTTAGCCAGGCCTCCACCCGTTGAATCTGGTTCTGTTCTGATCCAGATTAAAGGGCAGTCAAGATCGCCCATTCAAGTTTCCTCTCTGGAGCACTTGACAGTCTTGTTACTTTAAGTCCTCCATGATCTACCCACAGCTCACTCACATGGGAAACAGAGACCATTTAAAAGCCAGTGCAGTGAGCTCTCCTCCGGTGCTCTGAACAGCACTGGGTGAGAGGCAGTGGGGCAGGCACAAGGGTCAGGACCTGAGTCAGAAGCCCAGCAGGTACTGCTCTGCCTCCTGTAGCTTGTGACTCAGTGGCCCTGCAGACCGCATGTTAGTGCCTTTAAACAGACATCTGATGCATGCAAGGCGCTTAAGGAATATTTATCCTGTGTCCTCAGTTCCTTCTGCCATAGCTTCACGTGTCCAGATTACAGTTAAAGAGAAAACAAAAAGTGAGGAGAGTGGCCAATCTGCTTGAGAGAGAGAGAGAGAGAGAGAGAGAGAGAGAGAGAGACCGACCCACCTTCCTCAGAAGACTCCTCCTCTGTGTCCACAGCCTTTGGCACCTCTTGGACTTCTGAGAAGACAGGAACAATTAGTGTCACCAGAACCCTGCACCTCACCCCTGACTCAAAGAAAGATGTAGTACCCCGGGGGAGAAGTGGTCTGTAAGGGCAAGCCGTCCATAGATTCATCTTTCTCAGAGGGACAGGATGGAAAAACAGTCACCAACACAGACACTAGAGGCGGGAACATCAGACTCACATCCCAGCTCTGCCTCCAGTGGCTGTGCATAAGCTGGTAAGTCTCTGAACCTCACTAAGCCTCGGTGTCCTTATGTGGAAAAACAGAGCTATAATACCCATCGCACAACAAATCACAATTTAATGTGAGGAGGAACGGAAAGTGCTGGGCATGAAACACAGTCATTATGAATGGCATGCCACAGATAAGGCGAGTTAGAAAGACAACTCAAGGGCCCAGTCCTATCAACACCATGCCCAAGACCCTTCTCTCTTCCCTCCCACTAGAGAACAATAAAACAGGCAAGAATCGCTGATAGCTGATGGAAAGAAAGCACAAATGACCTCCCTCCCATAAGCCCTCTGTCTCATCCAGTTGGACAGCCTGACACCACAGCGAATGTCCCATGGACTGCTGTCACCAGTGTTTGACCCATAAATCACCTGGGGTGGGGCGTAGAAGGCAAAGAGCCCAGGACAACCCAAAGATTGACTGATCCTGACCACCCACTGCTGACTTACCCTCCGCCTTCCTGAGGGACAACGTCTGGATCTGCAAAAGATGGGACAGAGCAGGTTACAGCCAGCAGGGGACACTGTAGAGACTCTGCTCTGAGCAGTAGACCTGCCAGGAACAGGAAGAGAGGGCAACGGCTGCTATCCTGCCACCCACCAAGAACTAGAATGACTTACTACCCCGCCCCAAGCACATCTCATCTCCCACCATGTGCGTGTGGAGAGAGACCACACCAAGGAAGAGTAATGGCTAGCATTCCTGGATAACCAGCTGCTCAGCTTTCTCAGGGAAAGGAGACCGGAACGACAATCTTCAGAGAACCACTCTTTCAGGGCACGAGCCCACAGAAGCAGGATGGGACGGGGGTACAGCTGGCATGGAGGTAAAATTGATGTAAGATAGCTAGGAGATGAGAGAAATTCTAACCAGTGACACAGACAGCTGACCTGGGGGCTTATGGGCACACAGAGGCCTGGTCAGCATCCCTACCAGGAGGCCTGACCCAGACACTGGCAAATGTGCTCAGCACCCCTTCCCTAACATGGGCCTTTTCCTTCCTCTTTGGCCAGTATTTGCAGGGAGCAAGAGACAAGGTGGGGTCCTATAACAGCTTCCTCTGAGACTGAAACATTCCATCGTGTGTAGTAAGTTCCAAAAGCAGGCAGGTAGACAACTCACAAGAGCTTGGGGAAGTCCCTGAAACTGACCAGATTCACTAGGCCCCTCCCTGACAGAGAAAGGAATAAAAGCTGAGAGTCCCTCTCAGAAAGCTGAGCTACGGAGAAGACTCTCAGACAAGCTGAGATGCAGACTCTGAGAGGAGAAATGCCGCAAAGAAGGCTGAGACCAGACCAGCGGTCTGAAGAAGCAGAAACCAGGTGAACTGCCTGGAAGAGATTTAGGCCAACAGCGTCTCTCAAAAAGGACCCTCCAAGCTACTGAGCTTTCTGAGGCTGTGCAGTGTGCTCCAAGTTCCCAGTTTCTGTGAGCTGTCACCCTTGTGGGGTGGGCTTTGGTAACACAGTTGTCTTTGAGTCATTTCTGCTCCTATAAATAACCCCAATAAGACTCACTGACTTGCCAAGCTGGACTTTGGCGATATCTGCACTTGGGTCTGTCATGGGTTCCCTATCTGGGGTGAGTAGACATGAGTGTTGTGTCTCCCAGAAAAAGTTTTGTCACATGACCGGTGGGTACAGTGACTGACATAAAATGGCTAGAAAGCAGAAAAGTGGGGGCTGGAGAGATGGCTCAGCAGTTAAGAGCATTGATTATTCTTCCAGACGTCCTGAATTCAATTCTCAGCAACCACATGGTGGCTCACAACCATCTGTAATGAGATCTGGTGCCCTCTTCTGGCCTGCAGGCATACATGCAGGCAGAATACTGTATACATAATAAATAAATCTTTTAAAAAAGAAAAAAATCAAACAGAAAAGTGTAACTAGCAAGGGGTCCAAGGACAGGAGGAAGGGACTGGACAGCGGCAGTAACTCCAGGGCTATGTAGAACACAGGAACCTGAGGTCCCAGGTGGACCTTCCAAAGGGGAACTGAGTACAGACTGGGGGTAGGGAAGAATCATCAAGAACAGGTGAAGAGCCATAGGACCCAGCAATAGGAGATGCTCGGAGACTCGGCAACTTCTGTCTCACTGGCTTATTAGAAAACCGCATCAGAAGCTGTTCCTTTATGGGAAGGGGGCTGGCTAACAAGTTATATCTGTGAAAATACTATAAGGAGCACATCTCTGTGTCCCGCCAACCTAGCTAGAGACGATGTCACCTGCCACATATAGAAAACCCAGCCTGTTCCACCATCCATTGAATAAAAGTGGGGAGAAAGAAAATGGTCTCAAATGGTCTCTCTTGAAGGGCAGTTTGAGGTTTCAGTGAAGTTTCATGCAAAGTGCCAGCCGGGAACCAGGTATCTTATGTGGTCTCTGAGGAGAAGAGTGAGACATAAGCCTAGAGGGAGGTAGCTGTGGCCTTACAACCTTGTATGCCTCTTCACTTCCCTTCAGGAGCCTAAGGACACCAACAGCATGAACTCAGAAGGATGCCAAGCTAGCCTCACAGAAAAGAGGCCTGACGGCTGCTGACTAGGGAAAGGACTGACTTACCGTCTCCTCCTGGGATGCAATAAGCTTGGCCTGTTCTTGAAGCTGTGCACGGAGGGCGTTGATATGGCGTTGCGACTGGGCAGCTGCCTTCTTCTGATCCTGAGACAGGGTGGCATGGAGCCTCTCGTTCTCCTCCCGCATCTGGTGGGCACAGGAAGGTTGGTCAGTCAGATGTCTGTAGGGACCCAAGTACCCCAGGTGAGAAGGGCAGTCCCTACAGCCAAATGCTGGTGGTGGTCTCGCCTGAGGCCAGACTGAATTTCTAAACTTTGCTTTCAAACAATTCTAGCTGCCTTCTGGTTTGGGTATATTTTTTTGAGCTGTGCCAGAGAAGGAGAATTAAAAATGGAGGGCAGGCCTCTAGGACCATGGAAGAAGGTTCTCTGTCAGACATGGTCACCCACTGAGGAGAGGCAGTTAAGAAAAAAAGACCACTCAAAAATCATCAAATTTCTTTTCAGGTAAAAACAAGAAGGGAGGAAAATGTGTTCCCATGCCCCCTCTGATGTAAGAGCAGAGGTAAAGTGAAGCTAGTTATTAATATTTGCATAAAGAATCTCTAGAGAACACAAATGAAATGAAACCATCACACGGGGACTGGGTAACCCTAAAATGGGGTGGGAACAAGTGCCGTCCCCATGGGCCAAGCTCCTGGCATCTTCTAGGCCGGGGGCCAGCAGAGCCTGAGAAGACTAACCAACTTCCTCCTCAACTTCCCTTCTCTTCTTGGGCATCTACAAAGAAGCCATAAAAATTTAATGAGGTCCAGATGTTCTTGGGAGGCATCCTATCCTTGAAGATACCTTGTCAGTTATTAATGGCTCTTTGTTAAGTTTTCGTGCCCCCAAAACTGACCAATGGGTTCAGAAACTACTTTATCCTATGTACTCCTTACCCAATCCCAAGAGAACAGGACATGAATTCCCCTGATTACCGCATTTCCCCTTTAAAAGTTCTGCCCTCCCCCAAGGCTCCCTGCCACACTTTCCACACCCACCATGCTGGGGTGCTGAAAAGGTGTTGGTCCAAACTTAAATGTGAATATTATTAAAAACCCTCATGTAATTTGCTCGGAAATCCGGCTCCGTGAATTCATTTGGGGACCAGAAACTTGGGCACAACAGCTCCTTGCTAAAGAATCTGCTGGATAGGCAGATGACCCCATTTGTATATTAAAGGGGACTGACAGCCATGAGCAGTATCCACAATACACCTGACAACCAATTCTAGACAGAGAATGGGACAGAGAGGGGAATGCTGCATAGGGCGAGGTCACGGGAAAGCAAACTTTCCCGCTAGCCAACATCAGCTACCTCTCTCCTCTCAGCCGCCCGCTCTTCGTGCAGTGCCTTCATTTTTCTCTTCCATTCTGCTTTCTGAAAGGGAGCAAAAGCTTGTTAAATGGAGCCTGCTATGCAGTAATAAACTATAAAATTATGACAAGTAAAAGGTACTAGCTCCTGGTGAGACAGAATAGAAAAACCGAACCAATTTGGGGGGGAATGGAAACATAGTGGGAGAGAGATTACTGACTTTGTGTTTGAACAAATGGCTAACTGACCAGGAAAAAAATAAAAGCTTGCATGACTGTTTTAAGTCAATATAAACTAGACAGATCAGATAATTACACATAAAAATCAAGACAGCAAAAAGATAATGGTAGTGATTAAGGCTACAGAATCACTCAAAGAAAACACAGGAATATTTTCTTTTTAAGTCTCAGAGCAGGCACAGTAATAAAGGACAGATGGAGAGGCTGAGGAGATGTCCAGCAGTCATGGAGGGTCACCGCTCTTGCAGAGGACCTGAGTTCAGTTCCCAGCACCTATATCAGGCGGCTTGCAACTGCCTGCAACTCCAGCTCCAGGGGCTCCAATACCCTCTTCTAGCTCCTGCACCTTGACACATGTATGCAAATACACAGAGACACACATACACATTAACGAAGATGCAAAGGACTCTTTAAAAAAAGACAACTTTTACCAGAGAAACCAAACAACAATAAAGTTAAAAGACCAATAGAAGACTCGGGAAAAATATCCACAACTAGAACAAAAGCTGGATTAATTTCCACGAGGAGAAGCAAAAGGCCAGCGCAGTAGGTCAAGGCTGTAACTCCAGCAATTAAAAGCTGGAAGTAGGAAGGTCAGGAGTTCAAAGTTAGGGTCCTTCTCAGACACACAGTAAGTGGAGCCCAGGCTACATAAGACCCTGTAGCAAAGAGTGAAAGAAAGGAAGAGAAAGCAAAGAAAAAAAAAGGGAAGAATATGAACAGAGTTCAAGTTCACAGGAAAAGAAAGGTTGTGTGTGTGCATGTGCGTGTGTGTTATATTGTGTTTATGTGTGTGTACAGGTATGCTTGCATGTACATGGAGGCCAGGTGTCACTCTCTGTCTTATTTTTGAGATAGGGTCTCTTGCTAAGTCAATTAGCTAGATGGATTGAGAGCAGTGAGCTGTAAGCCCCAAAATCTTGCCTGTCTCTGTCCCCTGGCTCTGAGGTTCTAGATGCACGCTGTTCCTGGCATTTATGTGGGCATTAGAGATCTAAACTAAGGTCCTCATGCTTGTATTGTGAGCACTTGACTGACCAAGCCATCTCCCCAGTAATAATGACTTTTTGTGATGTAAAAAAAAAAAAAAATCTATGAACCATCTGTGTTGGTTAGAGATTTTGTTTGGTTGTTTTGTGTTTTTGTCTACTTAACACAAACTGGAGTCATCTGGGAAGAGGGAGCCTCAATGGAGAAAATGCCCCCACCTGACTGGTCTGCAGGCAAGCCTGTGGGGCATTATCTTAACTGATGATCGATGTGGAAAGGCCCAGACCACTGTGGGCAGTGTTATCCCTGGGGTGGTTCTGAGCAAGACTCAGGAGAGCAAGCCAGTGAGCCGTGTTCGTCCTCGAGGTCCCTGCCTTGGCTCCCCTTGATGATGGACTGCAACGTGGAAGTGGAAGCCAAAAAGTCTCTTTCCTTCCCAAGATGCATTTGATCATGGTATTTAATACAGCAATAGAAAGCAAACTAGTCTGCGGTGGTTTGAATAAAAATGGCCCCTCATAGGACCACAGGAAGTGGCGCTCTTAGGAGGTGTGGCCTTGTTGGAAGAAGTGCACCACTGGGGGGGGGGGGGGGCTATGAGGTCTCAGAAGTTCAAGCCAGGTCCAGTGTCTCTTTGCCTCTTCCTGCTGCCTGTGGATCCAGATGGAGAACTCTCAGTTCCTCCTGCAGCATCATGTCTTCCTGCCCGCTGCTTGCATGCTATCCACCATGATGATAATGGACTAAATCGTTGAAGCTGTAAGCCAACCCCAATTAGATGTTTTCATTTATAGGTTACTGGAATCATGGTGTCTCTTCACAGTGATAGAAACCCTAACTAAGACACTGTGTTGAAGGCGTAAGTCATAAACAATGCCACACCAGTTTGGAATTATGATTAATAGGGTGGTATTTATTTAAAGGGGAAAAAACTTACAGATCACCGTCTGCCCTCTGCGCAACCAGGAAGTGAGTCTAGTCGCCAGCAAGAGAGCGAGGAGAGGGAAGTGGCCGCTTTTTTAAAGGGAGAGAGACCACGCCCCAATGGGCTGGTATCTCAGCGGCGATAGGCTGGAGGAGTGGGAGGATCTCCCGTAACACCGTGTCATCAGTTTCAGAGCCTTTCTGCAGACAGACTTCCGGCTCTTTCCCAACCACCTTGGAGAGCGGACGCAGGAGCTCATGCTGGGCTGTGGCTGACTGCTGTGGTCTTAGAGAGGATACGGACCTCCTCTGCCTGGACTTGAGTAAGGTTCTCCCAGTGGTGGCCAGAGTGGACTGGGTATGAATCTTCCCAGCTCGATTCAGTGACCTCATAGTGATGGCCAGATAGGAGTCTGCACACCACAAAAACTGGCAAGTGGTTTTTTAGCTCTGAGCTGATACCTAAGCATTCGCTACCACACCACAGACTTGTCATAAATATCTTCACAGCCCAGGACACTTGCACACTTTCTGAACTGTTTTCAACCTTATCAGAATGAAAGTTGGGACAAAGATGTCTAAATGACCCACCTGCATTTGCATATATTAATACATATCACACACACACACACACACACACACATATATATATATATATGATGATTAAAAGCATCGCCAACCTTGCGTGAAAACCATATATTCAGTGCTTTCATGCCGAACAAGGCCTGAAAATATAGAACTTTGATGTCTCTCAACTTCACCAAATCCACAAGGCAAACCGAGGCCTCTGTGAGGATGGACAGATTCCTTCCTCGTTGCTCTGGAGAGAAGGGTGTGGAGCAAACATCAGCTCAAGCTCACCTGGACTTCCATCTTCTCTCGGAGGGCCTGGAGCTCCTGGGCCTGCTTGAGTCGCTCCTCGGACTCCTCATCCCGTAGAGTCCCGAGGTGGGACTCAGTCATACTGTAGGTCTGCAGCACCTTCAGCTTCTGGAAAAGCCAAGAATCATCTCATTAAAGGAAGCCCTAGACACGACACTGGCTATATACCTTCCCCAATACAGGACCGGAAGAGTGACCCCTCAAAAGCCTGTCCATTTTGCCCTCACTACTCCTGTGTGCCTGCAGACAGCCACACAAATCAGCAGTCCCCTCACTAGGGGTCTCCCAAGCTCAACCCCTGAACAACAGGAGCACCCATTGATGGTGGGGGGGGACTCGTATTATTTCAGTTACAGTGAAATTCTGATGTCCCCAAGTTCTAAGCTTGCCCAGCTCCTGGCCAGTTTGTTCCTAGCTCTAAATTAAACTGAAAAACGCCACACTTAGGGCCCATGTGAGAATCCCTAGCTCCCCAAGCCATGCCCTGAGGATCCCTGTTTCTTACACACACACACACACACACACACACACACACACACACACACTGGCTGTCACCAGAAACAGCTATTTAGCTGTTTTTGGTTTTGCACAGTATTCAAAGCCATGCCATTTATATCTAGTGATTTTTTTTTACTTTTTTTATTATTGATTCTTTGTGGGGTTTACATCATGCACCCCAATCCCGTTCATCTTTCCATCCCTTCATATCTACCCTTTACTTGCCACATCCCCCCAAATAAAATAAAATTTAAAAGAAAAAAACTAACATACAAAAAAAAGTCTCAGTGTGGAAGCTGTAGTGTGGCCCAGTGAGTCACACAGTATACATTTTAGTCCACACATCTTTACTTGTAAGTGTTCATTACAATGACCCATTGGTCTGGCTTGAGGCCTCTGGCTTCTGTTATTCCCTTGATATTGGGTCTTCACAGGGATTCCTCTTGGATATCGTATTGCTGCCTTGTGTCATGGAGACCCTGCAGCTTTGGATCTGCAGGTCCGGCCCCTTCCCATGCTCCAGCAGTTCACAGATAAGGGAGATGTGTCAGTCCTGGTCAGCCCACCAGCTTTCCCTCATCAACACCACCAGGGCCAGTGCTCTGGCACTGTCCCAGACAGCTCGCCCACTGCAGCAGGCAGCAAGGAGCAGGGCCAGCTTTCCTGCTCTCGGCCCTCAGGGCCAGCTCACCCACCCACTCCCACACCGTCAGGGCCAGCTCTATTGACTTAGTGATTCTTGAGCTAACACTGTACCAGAGGAGAAGGCAGGCACAACAGGATAAAAGACAGAAGCCCTTTCCGCCGACCCATGTTACACTAACAAAGCCCATTTCTATCCCCACACATAACCCTACGATAAACCTTATTCCAGCTTTAGGAAGCTTTGAGTCTGAGTTTACTTGGTGTTCTTGATAACTTTTCCCAGCCACTGCTTAGGCAATACCAGGACAAAATGTTAATCATTTTCCAGCTTGAGTATTTTTGTTGGCAAACGCTTTAGCAGGGGCCAGAAAACTTGGGGGGCAAGGGGGAGGGTTCTGACATGCCACTTCCGCTTTCTCTGTCGCTGTGTAGCGCACCACACAGCTGGCCCTTTGCATGGCCAGGGGCTCCTGTTAGCGTATCCGCCAGCAGTTTCGCCTACCCCATGTATCCTTATGTTCTCTCTGCAGTCAGGCAACTCGGCCAAAGTGCTCATGCCTCTGTGCCAGGTAAGCTCTAAGGAGCAATGCTGTCAACGCGCACTTAGCCCTCCTCAGTCCTCCTCCCGTCAGGATGCTGTCTGTGGTTTTGAGGACTATCTCATGGTACTTTTCCAATCATTCTGAACAGATTTTCACCTTGTTTCCCCCAGAATTTAAAAAAGGATGAATTGGGCCGGGTGGTGGTGGCACAGGCCTTATCCCAGCACTCGGGAGGCAGAGACAGGCGGATCTCTGTGAGTTCTAGGCCAGCCTGGTCTACAAGAGCTAGTTCCAGGACAGGCTCCAAAGCTACAGAGAAACCTTGTCTCAGAAAAAAAAAAAAAAAGGATGAATTGACAAAATAATTATCAAACAATACTGATAATCTTGTATCCAATTAGATCCCTATACTTTACTAAAATAAAATGTTGAAAGGAGGTAGGAGACATAAAAGCACAATGTGAATATCTTACAAACAAGCAAAAAATAAATGCAATCGTGGGGTGTTCCAGTATTAAAAGGATGTGTTCTGAATCAGAAAGGGAGCCACAGCTGACAAAGGATCATGTCATTTTCTGAGACTCAGATTTCCTAACTAAAAGAAATTTTTTGGCCCTTGATGAGGTGATTTCTGAACAGCAGCCTCTGATTCAAATCAACAGTTATTTATAAATGCCTCCTGAGCAGGCAGCATGTTGGGAAGTATCAAGTCAGGGACACTTAAAATCGGGAACCATGGGTAGAGAGCTAGTGAGGAGCAGAGAGCCACAAGGAGTAACAGCTTCCCATCCGCAGAACAGCCCTAATCCAGCAGGGAGCACTGTGTTGGGAAGGCTTGAATAATAACAGATCTCTCTCTCTCTCTCTCTCTCTCTCTCTCTCTCTCTCACACACACACACACACACACACACACACACACACACACACACAAACACACACACACACACAGAGAGAGAGAGAGAGAGAGAGAGAGAGAGAGATCCTGTCTGTCCTACTATGCCCCCTCTCTGCTTTTCCATCCCATGGCCATCCCCCTAGGAAAACAGGCCGGTATGTATCTTTAGGCAAAACATGGAGTGATGGCGAGAAAAGCAGTTGACAATTCACTTTCAAAACAAGGTTCTCCTGATGTGAGAAGGACCAATTAGAGACCAGGACTCCATGCATGTGTGAGAAGATGCGATTCAGCAATAACTTTAACAAGGTCTTCCTGCATAAAGATCAGCCAGCAGAAACAAGACCTTGGAATTTTAAACGCTATGTTCAGACCTCAGCTCCATCTCTTTCTAGTTGTGTGAACTTGAACAAATTATATGGTCTTGGTTTCACCTGTAAAAAGGAGTGTAGTATACATTTTTAAAACAAAGTGAATGCATGCCACACACACATTCTCTGCCCATCCCCTTCTAAATGAAAAAAAAAAAAAAAACAACAATAACAACACCAGAAACAGTGTTCTGCAGAGGCAGGGAACAGTAAGGCCATCCAGTAAATGCTACCTATTATATGCAACTACAACAGGACCCTCCCCCATAGAGCCAGAATTCACCAGATATAAGTCAGGAAAAAATGTTTTCATTTATGTTCCGTCACATTTTTTTGCCCAATGATGAGAACTCTTTGCAAAATAAGGTCCATGTTCTAGAGAGTTCTAATTAAATGCCAGATAGTGGTATGTACTTCAAATGTGCTAATTTAAAGCTGCTACAAATCTGTCGCATACAAAAGAAACTAAGGCACAGGGATGTAAAATAACACTCCCAAGATCACATAGCAAGCGTGAGGCAGAGCAGTACAGGTTTCCCTGAGCACTGGCATCTGCTGTCCAACCTTATACCGTGTCAGCTCCAACAACAACACAGTAAGACCCCAGCAGGCGTCAGGAAGACCAGCAACAACTTCTGAAGGTGGGATGAGACCTTCATAGGCAAAGTGCTTATTGTACAGACGTAAAAACTAAGTTCACCCTGACACCGTGCCTCATGCTTTTAAACACAGCACAGAGGAGCCTAGTCTATCTATCTACATAGTGAGTTACAGGATAGCCAGAGCTACATAGTGAGACCATGTCTTAAAAACAAAACAAAACAAACAAACAAAAAAAAAAAAAAACCTGAGTTCAACTCCCTAGCACCTATGTAAAAGCCAGGTGCAGCAGTGCAGCTGAGTAAAACCAGGGACTGGAGCTGGAGAGAAGCTGATCCTGCAGGTCACTGGCCAGTCACTCAAGTCAAAATGGGGTCTTCCTGTTTAGTAAGAGACCGTGTCTCAAAAAACTAAGGTGCAGGATTTAAGTGTGGTGGTGGGCTCCTTTAACCCCTATACTCTGGAGGCAGAGGCAGGCGGATCTCTATCAGTTTGAAGCCAGCCTTGTGTATATACTGAGTCCCAGGACAGTCAGGGGTCTGTTGAAAGACCTGTCTCGAACAACTACAAAGTAAATGAATAAATAAAAAACTGAAAGTGGAAAGTCTGAAAAGATAGCTCAGCTGGTAAGAGCACTTGCTGCTATTACAGAGGACCCAAGTTCAGTTCCCAGCATCCACATAAGGCAGCTCACAACAGCCTATAACTTCCGTTCCAGGGAATCTGATGTCCTCTTCTGACTTCCACAGGCACCCGCACATATATGTGAACACACACACACAAATACCACATCACACACACACACTTATACGCACACACATGTACACACACTATAAAATAAGTCTAAAAAAGAAGATACAGAAAGATGGTAGGAGACATCTTATGTCCATCTCTGGTCTTTACATATGTGTGCATGGGCAAACCAATATGCATACACACATACACAACATGCAAAATTAATGTTAAGAACAAATAAACAGGCTTACAACAAAATAATTTCGAAAAGCTGTTTGTGTTGGGTACCTCTTCTAGTGTGGAGTTCTGGTTGGCAACCGTTTTAAATTCATCCCAGAATAATTGTTTCAACTTGTCTATTTCCCCATAAAGCTTGCTCCGCTCCTTTTCTTTCCACTCATCAAACTTTTTTCTAGCTTCTATTTCCCTCTGACGAGCCATCTCTATTTCCTAGAGAAAGAGAGAAAGAGCAATATGATGATTACTTCCACATTGTACCAAACATTTGCTGAAGACCCACGAAGGCCTGTTCTACATGTATAACACGATGGGGATCCAGAGAACTCTCCACCCTCAGCTCCTGTGGTGTAGACCCAGAGGGGTCCACTGCTAGACAAGTCTTAGGTAAACTGGAAATTCCCTTCAGGATAAGACTCGTTTTCTCTTTCTTTACAAGCCCTGGTTGGTACTTAATAAACTCCTGCTAACAAACAAACGAGCTAATGCATGGAGGAACGGGAGTTAGTGTTTTTAACTCCATAAATATTTATAGCTCACCTGTCCCCAGCCTAGAATCTGGAGCTTTCAAACCCAGTTACCAAAAACTGTGAGCCAACGAACACAAACCATTATGTTCCAGTTCAGATGCCTTCAGCATCGCTACACAAAACACCATGACCTCTGCTCTCCTTTTGGCCACACAGGTCCTTTCCAGACGAACCAGAGAAGATGGCACTCTATCTCTGACTTTCAGTTCAGAAAAAAACAGTGGGAATTCGGGCCCTGCGGGAGTCTTATGCATGGCTGGGCACAATGCCCTGAGTCTCCCCAACCTTTTCCCTGCACACCTACCTGGACCTGCCGCTGCCGCTCAGCTTCTCTCTGGGCTTCCAGCTCCCCTTGGGTCCACTGGAGCTTGGCCCGAAGGTCTTCCAGCACCTCCACCAGTGGCTGCTCCTGTTTCTGCTTTCCTGGGGGCCACACAAGGAGAGGTGAAAAGGCAACAATGAGGCCATCCTCCCTCTGCAATCACACCTCAGTCTGACAGCAACTTCATAACTCATTGGCCTGGGACAAAGAGCGTATCCCCCACCTCCCTGTCCCTCTGGGTCCCCAAACTGCAAAACAAACCTGGAATAGCTCTCAAGTGGGGAGTGTGGCATGGACTGAAGATGAACTGTGACAACACCAAGGGCTTAGCACAGTGTCGGGCATGACCGCTCTATAAATGCAAACCCATAGTAACTGTACCTTAAAGTACTTTGACAGTAATGATAGATGGACACAAAACAAGTGAGCAGTGGTCCTCTGCCACCCTTTAATACAGTTCCTCATGATGTGGTGACTCCCAACCACAAAATTATGGCGTTGCTACTTCATGCCTGTAATTTTCCTACAGCTATGAAACTGTGTTTTCCAATGGTCTTAGGCAACCCCTGTGAAAGCGTCGTTCAACCCCAAAAGGGGTTGCTATTCATGGGTTGAGAACCACTGTATTAGAATAACAGATAAAGAATAAGTATCAAGTACATTTTCTGACTTCTAAATGGAAATTACCAGGTACTCTTGTTAAAAATCAAGCTTGGGGTTGGAGAGATGGCTCAGAGGTTAAGAGCATTGGCTTCTCTTCCAGAGGACCCAGGTTCGACTCCCAGCACCCACATGGTGGCTCACAACTGTCTTGCAACTCCAGATCCAGAGGACCCGATGCCCTCTTCTGTCTCTGCAGGAACCAGGCACACATGTGATACACACATATACATGCAGACAAAATACTCATATGCATAAAATTAATCTTTTAAAAAATGTTTCCAAATAAATAAGGTAAAATCAGCCTGTTCTTTGAAATAGGCACTGAGCTCTAGGCAAGCAACCCCACCCCTACCCCCTACCCCCATTTTAAAATTTTATTCTAAGATAGGCTCTCACTAAGTTGCTCAGGTGGGCCTTCCAGTTCTCTTGCGTTAGCCTCCTAAGTGACTGGGACTAAAACCTATGCTACCAGACAGGGGAACAAGCAATTTTGGAATGCAGGGTTATCTCAGTTTGATAAAGTAATTAAGGGTAACTGTGGACTAGAAGAGCTGGCAATAACAATTGAATAACACATTTCCCAGTGCTGGAGAGACGGCTCGGTGATTAAGAGCACTTGCTGCTCTTCCCGAGAACATGAGTTCTGTTCCCAACAGCTATGTCGAGTACCTCACAACTGCCTGTAACTCCAGCTGTAAGGGATCTAATGCCCTCTTATGACCTTTATAGGCAAACACACACATACACACACACACACACGGTATACACACACATAAATAAAAATTAATCTTAAAACAGAGGAAGAACAGTTCCTTCTCCTTCTAAAAAATACAGAGATTTACATAGAGAATGTTAATTCCCCTGTAGTACACAGTAAGGAGATTCTTGAGTTATCCAGTTATTCTACAGGAAAATGTAAAAGAAATTGATGGTCACAACAGGAAATTTTATTCAGTCATTAAAAATCATGTTTTCACAACTCCTGCCTAGTATGCAAAATGCACACTTTTGAACCCCATTACTTTGTACAGCCAGGTATGGGAGCAAACATCTGCAATCCCAGAACCTTGGAAGTAGAAGCAGGAAGATCAGGAACTATACTAAGCAAGCTCAAGATCAACTCTTTAAACAAAACAACAACCAAAAAAAAGCAGGGCATTAGTGGTGCATGCCGTAATCCCGGCATGTAGGAGGCAGAAGTAGTGGATCTCTGTGAGTTCGAGTCCAGCCTGGTCTACAGAGCAAGTTCCAGGACAGCCAAGAGTACGTACGTACGTACGTACACACACACACACACACACACACACACACAAACTCTCTCAAAAAACAAAAAAAAGCAATAGTCAAAAGTGATTTCATATGCTTGCAAAAACATGAAGAAAAGTGCATCAAAATAACTGCCAGCGATAAAGCACATTGATCTTATTTTTATTTTTCTATGTATCACAATATAGTTAAGTTTCCATAATTTTACAAGTTTTATATATTTTTATAAGAAAACAAGAAACTAGTATATAAGACATAGACTATTTTCCTTAATAATCCTCAATATAGAACTTTGAAGAGATATATAAGTACATAGTTAAATAATACTGCTTTAAGCTAGCTCGCTCTCTTCTCTCTTTCTCCCCCCCCACCTCTCTCTCTCCCTCTCTCTCTCTCTCTTTCTGTATGTGCCTGTATGTGTGTGTGTCTAAGAACTGAACCTAGAACTTCACTCATTCAAGCAAAGCCTAAATTACTGAGTTACATTTTCAATTCTAAAATTCATTTAAAAAAAAAAAAGAAGGAATTACAATGATGAAAAATAACGACGCTTTCCCAATGAAATTGTTGTGTTATATTATTTGTTTATTGTACAGATACTTCTGTTGAACTCAAAAAGCATATGTAAATGTATGGGTACAGTGCAAAGCCTTGCTGCTCCTTTTGGAATTTGAAATGGTAAAATTAAATAAAGTGATTAAGTCACGATAAGCGCCAGCATACAGAACAGCCATAGAACTGGTCTGACTGCTCATTTGCCCCATTTATGCTCACAGCCAGCCTCAGAGAGCTTCAGACGAGGCAGGGAGACTAAAGGTCCTTCAGACACAGTGGATGGTATGAAAACCCAGACAAGACTGCACTGCTCATATGGAATCTCTAGGAGGCTCTAAGGGCAAGTTCATATGGATGGGCCCCACTCACCAAACCCTAGCCTAGCAGCTCCCAGATGTTTCCCGGACTCACCGACTTCTGCCGCACCTGCATGCCTGCGCTGGATGTGGCCCCGGAGAAAGGTGGCATTCATGAATGTCTTGTCACACAAATGGCACTACACAGAGGGGGAACAATCGGAAGAACTGGATTAGATCCCCCAGACAGCATGGGACTTCCCTGTATTGAAATTCTGCCTCCACGGGGCCCAAGGGCTGCTTCAGAAACAGGAATAATTTGAAGGGTTTGGAGGGTGTGAAACCCTGGGTTCAATTCCCATCATCACATAAATAAAGAAGGATGGTAGAAGTGGGAAAGGAAGGAAAATAGGATCCCTGATTTTGAACAGAACACAAGGCCAGTAAAAATAACCACCATATATATGTCCTAGCCGTCCTTACAACTGAATGTGACCATGTCACTAAATTCCAGTCATTACAAACAATTATATAATCAAAAATGGTATATAACAACAAAAGTATATGCTCAACTATGTTCATAGCAGCATTGTTTGTAATAGCCAGAACCTGGAAACAATCTAGATGCCCTTCAATGGAAGAATGGATGAAGAAAGTATGGAATATATACATATTAGAGTATTACTCAGCAGTAAAAACAAGGACTTCTTGAATTTTGCATACAAATGGATGGAAATAGAAAACACTATCCTGAGTGAGGTAAGCCAGACCCAAAAAGAGAAACATGGGATGTACTCACTCATATTTGGTTTCTAGCCATAAATAAAGGACAATGAGCTTATAATTCACGTTCCTAGAGAAGCTAAATAAGAAGGTGAATCCAAAGACAAACATATAGTCATCCTCCTGAATATTAACCTTCATCAGGCGATGAAATGAGACAGAGACAGAGACCCACATTGGAGCACCGGACAGAAATCTCAAGGTCCAAATCAGGAGCAGAAGGAGAGGGAGCACGAGCAAGGAACTCAGGACCGCGAGGGGTGCACCCACACACTGAGACAATGGGGATGTTCTATCGGGAACTCACCAAGGCCAGCTGGCCTGGGTCTGAAAAAGCATGGGATAAAACCGGACTAGCTGAACATAGCGGACAATGAGGACTACTGAGAACTCAAGAACAATGGCAGTGGGTTTTTGATCCTACTGCACGTACTGGCTTTGGGGGAGCCTAGGCAGTTTGGATGCTCATCTTACTAGACCTGGATAGAGGTGGGCGGTCCTTGGGCTTCCCACAGGTCAGGGAACCCTGATTGCTCTTCGAGCTGATGAGGGAGGGGGACTTGGTCAGGGGAGGGGGAGGAAAATGGAAGGCAGTGGCGGGGAGGAGGCAGAAATCCTTAAATAAATAAATTAATTAAAAAAATGGTATATACATTTTCTAGGAGGTGACTTTTTTTTTAAGTTCTGGTAGCACACACCTTTAATTGGAGTACTCAGGAAGCAGAGCCAGGCAGATCTCTGTTACTTGCAGGACAATCACAATGGACAGAGTCTGCACTGACAGATTCTGACCACTGAGACTTCACAGAAATAAACCTCTAGTTATAGGAGGAATATAAGTAGGGTGGGACAAGAAGATACCCCACCCCACACTAATAGCCTTGCCTCCAAACTATGAATCTCCTGAAAGCCTAAACTAGCATGAACTATAATTACATTCAAGAGTCTGCCTGTGACAAGGATTAATGTCTCAACCTACGTCTCTGGTGCAGTAGATTCAAACATTCAAGTGCTGTACTGGCTATGAATTATTACTTGTCTGAATTATGAAGTAATTTTTCTAAAATGAGCCTGCCTCCACTACGCCTTGCCACACATGTGTCACTAGCCACATGCATCCATGTACACATGCCTTTACATGGCACACTCAGCATAAATTCAGACTCTATCCTTGTACACACACAAACACATACTCACATCCTCAGGCACATACACTACATAACCCTCATTCATTCACACATACACCATTATGTAAGCCTCCATATGTACAGACAAACATTCACATCTTCACTGGCTCAGGACATACAAGACACACATCATAAATGCATGCTTATATTAGTCTTCTTAGCTGTATCCATCGTGGTAAGTCAGTTCAGCACACATTACATAACACGTATTCTACAGATACAGATATCACAGAGGTGCTTCAATACACAGTTAACACACCCACACGCACAGATACAAACCTCATGCAGCCACACCTTCACACACTATGCATGCACCCTCTCCACGCACAGGAGTACTCTGTATGTATAACCCTGCACACTCGTCTCTCACACACCTGCTCTACACTTGCATAACACTGAGCCCAAATCCTCAGACTTTTCAGAAAGTCATCTCTACAGTCTGCTCCTAACTGGTGAGAATGGCCTCCAATCGTCTTGTGGCCCAAGGCAGTGCCGTTCTGTCTGGCCTGGTGCCTAAGGTGCACAGTCTAGGTGCCCCGCCGCGAAGAATCCTCACCGTGTGGTAGCTGTGGGCGCCCGTCTGCAGAAGCAGCTGCTGCAGGGTGCTGATCATCTTTCGCCGGCGCCGGCTCTCCTCCCGAACACCCCTGAGCTCATCAGCCTGGCGCCCCAGCTCCTGCTGGCCGCGCTGCTGCTGGCCCAGGCTGGCCTGCAGCCGCGCTTCGAGCTGCGCCACACTGGCACTTAGGCAGTCCTGGCAGTGCAGCAGGTACTCGATGATAAGCTGTGCCAGGCGCAGCACCTTGAGCAGCACCGGGTCCACAGGCTGCCTACAGTGGTTACACACCTCTCGGTCCAAGTTACAGAAGGTGACACCAGCAATGTTCTCCTGCAGAGTGGCCACGTCCAGCTCCCGGGCCACACGGTCCACGTCCACAGCGCTGATGCGCCTCCAGTCTATGCTCTCACGGCGAGGCTGGAACTTGAAGGTGGGGAGTGTGTAGACCCCAGATAGTGGGCCACTAAGGCCCTCAACAGCCGCTGCTGGGTACTGCATGGGCAGGAGAGGCTCTGGGCTGACCACGGGGGTAGAGGGCCACCAAGGCCACTGGCCAAGGAGCTGAAAGAGGACCTGAAAAATGGAAGAGACCCGGTCAGATAGGTTCGAATGGCTATATCTTCCATATATCTGTTCAGCAAAACCTAAAGCAGGGCACAGTGAGTTGTCTATATGAGAGCTACTCAGGGGCTAGAAAGACAGCTCAGGCTAGGCTCACAACCAAAAATATAAAAGCTACTCAGTACGACGCACTGATTGTGTGACGTGGATACAATGTGGGAAGGAAACGTGGGCCTTCCACTGCACAGATATGTATCCTCTGCCTTGGGCAAATCTCTTCATCTTAAACCTCCTGTGTCTGTGGGAAAGCAGGAAACCCACATGGAAGGACCGTGGTGAGAAGGGAGGCAGATGACACACTCAGCCCGGGGCCTGGCACATGGTGGGGTCCTCAGGAACCCCTACGGAACCACTGCAGTACTGCCTGGCAAGGAATTTTGTCAAGTGTACAAATGGTCCAGTTACTTGGGATAAAGTCCAACAACTCCCCCAGGAATGGCAGAGCCATTTAATGACAGAACTGTGCCGTTGGTTACATCACATTCTGGTAGAGCATGTCTGGACTACATTTCCCAGCTTCTCCCGCAGTAAAGTGTGATCATGTGACTAAGTCCTTTGTCCAGCCCAGCCAGAGAGGCTTGGGAAAGCCGCTATGTCTCTGCACAAATTGTACTCAGTCTATGACCAGCCTGTTTGTTTGTTGCTTTTTTTTTTTCCTGCATTGAGGATTACACACAGGGCCTTAGGCATGCTAGGCAAATGCTCTAATGTGGAGCTTCACTCCAAGCCCGTTAACAGGATAGAGAAAAGAGCTTTGCTTTCCTTATCTTTCCCACAAAAAACTGGGATTCTATTTCCTGTACTCTTGGTAGGTATGCTTGCCAGCTTTTTGTCAAACTAGAATTATCTGGAGTTAGGAACTACAATTGAGAAAGTATCTCCATGAGATCAGGATGTAGGCAATCATGTGAGGTGTTTTCTTAACTGATGATTGATGTGTAAGAGTCCAACCTGTAATGGTCTGTCCTGTCCCTTTAAGTGACAAGCCCCGCCCACTCCCTCCCCCTTCCTCTGAGGCAAGCCTGCAAGCTTGATCCTTTTCCATCTCTCTCCCTTCTCTCTCCTTTTCCCTTCCACCCCTCCTCTCTCTCTCTCTCTCTCACCCCCTCCCCTTCCCTTCCATAGCCCACTAAATAAATACCCACTTTCTTTGCATGGTGTGCCTATCTGTTTCTGTCTCTGACCCTCTGCACTGCTCCCTGCCTGGGACCCACTGGCCCTCATGACCTGCCGCTATGCCCCTGGGGAACCGCAGCATTTTATCTAAACCATAACACAACCCACTGTGGCGTGTAGCCCTAGAGTGTATAAAAACACAAACTGAGCAAGCCATAGGAGTGAGCCAGTAAAGACCATTCCTCTATGGCTTCTGCTCCAGTTCCTGCCTTGAGGAACTGACTTCATTTAGTGACTTCCTTTTGATGAGAGCTGTAAACTGAAATAAACCCTGTCCTCCACAAATTGTTTTTGATTGTGGTGTTTTATCACACAATAGAAACCCAAACTAAAACAGTAGGCATAATTTTTTCTGTCTTAAATTTGACAATATCAATGGAAATTCAAAATTAATATACTACTACTAAGAATTATAAGCTGGGTAGTGATAGCACATGCCTTTAATCTCAGCACTTGTAGACAGAGGCTGGTGGATCTCTGAGTCTAAGGCCAGCTTGGTCTATAGAGGGAGTTCTATAGAGGGCTACATAGAGAAATCTGCCTCAAAAAAAAAAAAGAAGGAAGAAGAGGAGGAGAATAATAATTATTATAAGTATATAGTAGAATGACTGTCTAGCATTCATAAGACCCTAGATTTTATCTCCAACACTAAGGAGAAAAATTGAATTTTTAGAAAAAAAAAATCACTTCTTAAAGATAGGCCAGGTGCATGAGGACCTAAAATCCCAGATACTCCGGAGGTTGAATCAGGAGGATCAAGAGTTCAAGAGTTCAAGACCTGCCTATAGTATAGAGTAAATTCAAGGCCAACCTGAGTAAGTGTCCAAAAAATAATCAAGAGGGACAGAAGCCCGGGGTTGTAGCTCAGTGGTAGAGCACTTGCCTTACACACACAAAGTCTTGAGTTTGATCACCAACATGCACACACACACACACTTAATAAAAAGGTGAATTAAAATTTACCACATAGACAAACTCACCTGCACAAACGTGCCTATGAAACAAATGCCATTGCAATATTATTATTTATACAAGTAATGTACAAGAAAATATATAACAAAGTGAAGTACAGCAGGCAGTAGTGGTGTATGCCTTTAATCCCAGCACTCAGGAGGCAAAAGCAGGCCTCTGAGTTCTAGGCCAGGCTGGTCTACCAAGCAAATTCCAGGATAGCCACAGCCACACAGAGAAACCCTGTCTCAAAAGAAAAGAAAGCAAAGTACAATATGGGATACAAATAATATTTCTATACAACAAAATACTCTGTTGCAACTCATAAGGGCAAGACAGCTTTTATATCAATAGGGAATAATGACTTCATATGTACACATATACACACATACATGTATGCCATTTCTGGTTTAATATTAATAAAATCACATTTAGTAATAATTCAAAAAGATTACATAGAGATCGATCTCATTGGGATGAATGTCTGAGCCCAGGGGATAAATAAAAGGATCGATGGTGGGCAAACAGATAGCAGGTAATTAGACAGAATAATGAGCCTTACCCAGCACTCACCAGAGTGATTTACAGCCGTCCTGACTATGTAAAATGTGCACACTTGCTAGTCTTGTGATTCATTTACGCGCCTGATTTCCTAAGCACGGGCTTTCTCAAACAGCCAAGAGCTACTGGCACTGACTATTTGTAGGAAGTGAAAGTGGCTGTTAGAGCTTTACTTTTTTTTAGTTTCCACCTCTCTGTTATTCAAACTTCTTCCCACCATTACCTATTACTTTTATTACTTTTGAACTATAATAATTAATAATAATAATACAGTTTTTGCCCTTGCAGACTGAGAGTCTAAGGTGAGAAAAGGTACAAGCTTCCCCATTTACCAAGTTCTTTCCGGACTATGTGATCCAGTCTTTGAAATGCGATCCAAAGGTGGAGAAAAAGTGTTTTCGTTTATCTTCCTTGACAACTTGACCTGGGCTTGGAGTCACCTAGGAGACACACCTCTTAGCTTGTCTATCAGGCGGGTGTTTCCAGAGAGGATTAACCACGAGGGAAGCCCCGCCCCAGATATGGGTCCGTCTGCTGGCCTGGAGTCCCAGACTGAGTAAGGCAGCATTCTCTGCTTCCTGTCTGTGGAAGCAGTGGTTAGCCACCTCACAGCCCTACTTCCAGGCCTGTGCCCCACTATAACAAGCTATTCCTTTAAGTAGTAAGGCAAAAGAGACCCATGTGTCCTTAAATTGGTTCTGTCAGGTATTTGTTAAAACAATGAGAAAAGTAACTACACAAAAGGTGGCGAAAGAAAAGAAGCCTAGAAGAAACAGTGGGGCTAGGTGGGCAAAGAAGGAGCTCTAGGAAAGCCTGTCCCTTCTGAACTGCCTTCCTCTGGAACAGAGAGTGGCAATGGCCAGCCCAACTCCACCTGCTTCTCGGGACTATGAGAAGCGGGTGGTGGTGGTGGGGAAGTTGGCCACAGAGGTAACACCAGCATGCTTCATGCAATCTTTACGTATGAATCTACAAATAGATATGTTATACCTAGTCCATTACACATCACGCGGGAGGAGAGAGACAACATTATGGGTTCCAAGGATTTTAATAATTTGCCACAAGAGAGGGTCACTGATGGATCAGGGCTGCAGGACAAGGACTCGGGAACCTTCTTTTTCCTGGCCACCCTGAGTGGGGGCAGAAGTGGGGTTTATAAGCATAAAATTCACAAACATTTGTTGCCAAGTTACGGTTACAGTTTTCACCAAGCAGCCATCAAAGATTAGGGGTTTCCTTGTGTGCTCCATCATTGTCAACTGACATACGTGCAAGTCTTTTAGCCCAACCGATCGGATTCATTTGTTTTTTCTGTTGTTCGGACCAACCGTGTTTCTAGAGATGCATAATCACTATTTCCATGATTTAGGGAGAGGGGGCTGGTCTCAGCTCCCCTAGGGCTTGGGAACCTGAACTCTATTTCACCCTACAGGTAAAATGAAGATTGAAGTCAAAATGGCAGTACTCAAGCTAAGGTGCTTTTGCCTGCTCCCTTCACATACAGTACCATTGTACAAACCAAACTGGAGTCTGCAAAGGATGTTTGGTCTTCCCAACAAGGGAAACTTGAGCTGAACTGCAGCTACACGTTCAAGTCCATCCAAAGTTTGTGGGCCTGAACTATTCAACTGTAATAAGGTTCTCCTCTTGAAGTTTTACTTCGACTAAAGGCCCACCCCTTTTCCTTTAATTCACTCATTGACGAAGTCTCCCCTTAATTATTGTCTACCTGTTTAGGCTTAGCCCAGCTGCTAACACTGTGGTAGTGTGGGTTGTATTACCCACACCACTGCACCCCACCTTGGGGTTCAGTGTGGCTCCTTGCTGCCACTGTGCTGGCTGCAAACTTCTTTGGTTGATCCTCAGACTGGCCACAGGATACCTTGAGCCTAGCTTTTCCGTTTCCTTTCTCAGATACTCTTCCAAAAACACCATCTAGCATAAGCATCCCGCCACGGCCACCAGAAGACCGGCACATTTCTGTCCCATTCCATGTGTTAGGTTGCAAGCCAAACAGGAGCTGTCTGACACGGTACTCACCATGCTTAGCTGCATGCCACACCACCAGAGCCCCGGAGACGACTGCTTACAACAAGCCCTACCTCTGAGCAACAGAAGGTTACCAGGCGTGCACAAGGGTAACAGGACACCCGCTTCCTGTCCTCCCAGGTCTGAGAACCTCGCTCTTTAACTATTTAAGCTTGGGCCTCCCGTGTTTGCCAATAGTCCTCTCTCTAATGATAAGGACACACACAGCTCTCCTGCACCAGCTCTCTCCTCTCTCTCTCTCTCTCTCTCTCTCTCTCTCTCTCTCTCTCTCTCTGAACGCTCCTGCCAGCTTTCCTGTTCAGCAATGACTATTCTTTTGCCTTTCCTTTAAGGCAGGGGTATGGGTGTCCCTGATATTTCATCTGCTGTTCACCTTCGGCCCATGTCTCACTGTATGCTCCTCAAGATGAATGAGTTCATATATCCACCACTGCAGCTACTTTGCTCTTACTGAGCCTCAGGCTACCCTCAAGTTTCTTTGCTTAGGTCCTTTCTGCCTCTTTCAACTATTGGATCCAACTCTTCCAAACTGCTTAGATTTCAAACCCAAGTTCCAACAGTGTCAGCAAAGTAGCATTAAATACATGAGATGCAGCTAAGAGAAACCTCAGTACATGCTTGATGACAAACTGACTCTCTGCCCCGGTGTCTGGAACGCAATAAAGCTGTGGTTCTCAGAGTCCTCCACTCCCTGGACCAGCTCCCAGTTCATCATCTAAGAACATGTTATAACCCAGAACTAGGGCTAGGAGCTAGCCTACTTGGTAAGGGGTCTACCCCCAGACGCATAACAACTGGCATCTGCATTCCCCAGAACCCACATAAAAGCCAAGCATGATGGCACATGCATGTAACCCCAGCACGAGGGAGGGGACAAACATGGGCAGATCCCTGGAATCCAGTGACCAGTCAATCTAGCCAATCTGTGAGCTCTGGGTTCAGCAAGAGACCCTGCCTCAAATAACCAAGGTGGAGGGCCCATAAGATGGTTGGTTCATCAGGTAAAGGACATACCTCATAATTCTGATGACCTGAGTTAGGTCCCTGGGACCCCCATAAATGTGGGAGGAGAGAAATGACTCCACAAAGTTTTCCTCTGACCTCCATGTGCATGCCACACCCCCTCGTCTACATCACACGCACACACATACACACACAAGGTAGAGGGCAGCAGAGGAAGACACCCTCTGCAATGGAGACCTGAGGATCATGGCGATGGGGAGAGTTTCTCAAAACAATTCCTAGGGGTCAGAGCGATGGCTCAGCCGTTAAGAGAACTGGCCGCTTGCAGAGGACTCCAGGTTCGATTCACAGCACCCACATGACAGCTCACAACTCCCGGTCCAGGGAATCCGAAGCCTTCTTCTGGCCTCTGCAGGCATCAGGCAAGTGTGTGATACGTAAACATACATGCAGGCAAACGCTTGTACACATCAAAACGTATTTTTTAAAAACTTCCTAATGAGCTGACATCACATCCTGAGTAACAGGGAATGAAGATGCTTGCCCAACGTCCAGATTCAAACTCAAGCAGCCCAACTCCAGCCTGACACTTATCCACTGCTTCTGCGGCCCCTCAGGATAGACTGCTCCCTGCCACTTCCTTCTGTTCCTGCGCAAAACGGACACATGCTCCAAGGCTCGGCTCATCCTGACTGTCACCAGAAATCCCTTCCAGGCCCAGAGTTCAAATTTCCTGGCTCTTCTCTGGGACCCCAGAGCACTGAGAACTCACTCTGGTCCATGTCAGCAAAGGACTCCCACGCCCTTACAAAGAGCTCCAGGCACCGCAGGTCAGAATGGAGGGGCTCCCGGACAATGGCCCCTGCCAGTGTGAAGGAAGGGGAAGTGGAGATGGAGGAGGGAGAAATGAAACATCTCTGAACTCCAGTTCTAAGGTTTTACAGGTTGTCCCGGTTAATTCTCACAGTAACCCATTACACAGGTGAAGAAATTGAGGGTGGATACGGAGGGGCATGATTTTCCCACGTCACCTAATTACAGAGCCTGGCTCCAGAGTTTAGTCTCTGAAAAGATAAAAAATACGCAAAACTTACCCTAGAGAGTGATGTCAGGGTAGGATCCAAGAAGGGGTCCCCACCAAGACACTGCTGTGGCCTTCCTCCCCATGTGCGCCCCAAGGCCTGAGATCTTCAGGGGCTACACATTGTCTTATTCCTGTCTGTTCCTTCCTTATTCCTGTCTATTGCATCGCCATCTCTGACCCATTTCCTGGTGGTTATTAAACTGAGCAAAGCTTCCAAAACCGTATACTATTTGCCTCGCAACTCAGTGTTCTTGGGACTCTGGGGAAATGAGGCGAGGCCCACCAAGAGTGAGGATCAACAGGACAAATGAGTTAGGTCTTTCACTTGGACTCACTACAGGGAAATGCGGTCACACTGAAGTGTTGGATGCCTTGACCACCAGCAGTCACCAATTAGTCCCACTGGCTACTACCGGCTCTTGTGGGCGGGCTCAGGCACATCAGCGAGTCTTCCCGCTGCCCAGCACGGCTGTCAAGCTATGGCTCCACAGCTTGCTCTCCTAGTGTCTCTCAAAGCTTTCTGTTCACAGCGAAAGCAAACTTCATAAACACTGTGAGGGGACGGCCTACTCTGCTTACATAGAATTCTGAGGGTAAGTTCTCAATTCATGAGGTTTTACTGCACCCCCAAAAGTATCACTCCTATCTCCTTCTGTGACTCTAAAGGTCTGGGGGTCCTGGCTTCAAAAGGTAGGCTAGGAATGTGGGAAATCATATACATGGTGATCTGATGGCTGCAGCTGTTATCAAGCACCTACCTGCCAGGCACTGTACCAGACTGAAGGTGCTATTCTGTCTGACTCCACAAATCTGAATTACAACCAACCTCCCAAAGATGATTACAGTGATGGCATACAAATGATAAGAATTATTTTCCATTGTGGGAATACAGTACCTGGGCTTTCTCCAGCAGAACGGAAGGGCTGCAAGCGCTCACAGCCAATCATGACAGGGTCAGTGCTGGAGTCCTTAAATCCTCAATGTACTTCAGCTCCAAAGCCTGCTTCCTGGTAAGGATAGGCAGAAGACAAAGCCACATGAGCGTGTGGCTGGTAACCAAGAAACCGCACACCCCAGGGGCAGGGACTCGGCCTTCTCCAGACTGAGCTATCAGCAGACTGTTTTCCCACATCTGGGAACAGAAACACAAAGGAGCGATGATTCACCAGCATTAGGAAACCTGAGGCTGTGTTACCTGTATCTACACGTTCTGATGGGGTTCAGGGAAACTCTGCAATCCGACTTTACTCTCATGAGTTAGATCCAAATGGAGCTTTATGCTAGTATTTCTCTCCACTATGAGAGAATGTTCATTTCCCCTGGTGCAATTCCACACCCAATGTTTAAAAAAAAAAAAAAAAAGTCAGCGGCAGTGTTTACTACCTTCCAAGCCAGCGGATCCATGAGGGAACAAATTCCGGAAGCTGTATGGCTCTTCTGCCAAAGTAATATTCACAAAACTGCCCAAACATCAGATTCTTTTTTCATTTAAGTGGCCTCTAAATATCTCACTGTCCCTTTCTTCCTCAAAATGAAAGCAAGAGGAAGGTTCTGGAAGGGCCAGGCTTCTCCAGGCTGCGGGCAATCATTTACAAACTTGCTCTGGCTTCCAAGCTAACTTCACAGCGCCTGCCCTGGGGAACTCCCGGCTTGTCATTAGTGCTAATTGTCATGGCTGCCAAGGAAACCTTCCCACAGTTTGCAAACAGGCTCTCTGCACACCAGAGGCCAGGGAGTGCTGGAGGCCCTGATGGGAATGAGCTACGAAGCTAGGAAGCGAGGACTGCAGAACACTTTCCACACACTCTAGTCTAGATCTTAGAGCTTCTGGTTTTACTGAAGAAATGTTTTCTTAAAAATTAAAAAGATGTCTAGGGACTGTATCCACTCTCAGGACTGCCGAGCAGCAAAAGAGAGATCCGCTCCCAGAGGCTACTCCTTGTAGCCGGCCCCCTCTGCCCAGCAACTTTGAAACGGTTTCCTCTTTACTGCTTGTTGGTGTGGGTGTGCCTGTGGGCACCCAGTTCAAGGTGTGCCTGTGGGCACCCAGTGCAGGGCCTTGCCCACGCTAAATATGAGCTCTACCACCAAGCTACATCTCCAGCTCCAAGGAGAAGTTTTTAAATACAGTACCAGGAGAGCACTTACATGACCCCTACAGGTCAACCATACTCCAGGGCAGGCCCTACTTACAGGAACAGAGGGATAACACAATGGGGGGGGGGGATCTCAAAGTTGGGTGGGTAGGGAAGTGAGGGTGGAGAGGGCAAGGGAGTATGATCAGAATACCTGTGGGAGATTCTCAAAGAATTCAGAAAAATATTTATAAAAGCGTATTGTGACTGTTGGTCACAAAAAGATTTTCTTTAAAATAAAAGTGGAGGTGGAGCCCTAACAGACGCCTCTTGAGAGTATCTCAGAGCAGAGGACTAGGGCAGCATGACCTATTATGCCAGGCACAGAAGTGTCAAAGACAAACAAAACCTGCTTCACATTGGAAAGAAAACTGACAGGCTGTACCAGTGTTTCTTGTCTATTAAGGCGTTGTTGTTTCCTAGCAGAATTTTCCATCTTTAGTCTGGGCCAGACCCCTCACTAGAATCGCCAGCTCTGGTAAGAGGCAAGTGCTTGATCTGCCTGGTTGGCCACACTGCCTTTCTGCAAAGAGGCCACAGGCCATTCAGAACTGCCTCCTCCCCCTTCTCCACTTGGTGATCTGGGTGGCCAATTACCCTTCTGACAAAAGTTCAGCTCCCAAGGTAGAACCCACAGCCCAGCTGCACAAGAGGTTCTGCTCCGAACCTGAGACCCGCATCTAAGACCACAGGAGGCAGAGGTCTCCTGGTGCTTGGTGCTAGCAGACAATCTCAGAGCAAGGCTGTTTTCACCTGCCAGATCACACCTGGGAGGGAAGGAAGGAGGTAGTAGTAGTAACCATCTTGCTCAGGAGACACAACACAGGCACAGTCACAGGCAGATGGAGCAGGCAGGATTCAAACATCTCACACTCACTAGGCCTCACCTAATTCTGCTAGAAATCAATTCCTGGGGACATGGCCAGGACAGCACAAGCCCTGGGCCCTTGGGGATCCTTTGTAAAGGCAATCAGTCCTACCCAAGCCCCGTCCTCTGTTCCTGCCTTGTACACTCTTGCCCTATGCCTACCCAGTCTCCCGTGGACTTAAAATCACATTCACCTCCTTTTGCTAACGCTGTACCCCTGCTAAACTTCAGCCAGGGACCGGAAGCTGAGGAACTAGAGATGCCAATGTTTGTTCAAAATTCATCTTGTTAGAAACCAACCCCGCCCCACGACTCCCGATCCCTTCTCTACGGAACTCAGATCGTCACCCCCTTAGATCCTTTTACTGTTTTCAAAAACTCCATTCCCAAAACCACCCTTCCGAAGAAGACGGGGTTGGGGTGGGGGTGGGGCAGGGGAGTTGGGTATCAGTCATCCCATTCCACGCTTCCGAGCATGAGAGTTCTACGGCCGGCAAGGCACCTCAGTCCAAAACAATCCGAGGCCGCTGGGATGGAGGCACAGGGAGCTGGACGTCGAGAGCTCGGTTCCTGGCTGGGTGACCGCAGCCACTAATGTTTAACCTGCGCGCGCAGCGGCCGAGTAGCGCCGCTTGGAACCACGCTGCCTCCCGCGGCTCCCGGCTGGATTCCAGGCATAGTTTTTCCGGGGAGGCCTGGGTCACCCTGGGGGTTGCCCAGAGCAAGGACTGGTGATTTGAGGTCTGGGAGAGGTGCCACGTCTTCACTCACCCCACCCACACCCACAGGTCCAGACTCACCTCATCTCCAGCAGTGCAGTCCGAGGATGCTGCCAGTCACGCGGACGCAGCTAGTCGAGTGCAGGGATCCTGCACGCCTCTCTACCGCAGTAGTAGCTCAGAGCCCAGGGTCTCCGGTGCCTCTCACCCCCACCCACAGCAGAGGCGGAGCCTCTCCCCAGCGCCCGGGAACAGCTATTTTTAGAGCTGTAGGGAAAGGGGGAAGGAGGGGCTGCCTCTTTGACTCCGTTAACAAAATCCAGCATCCCAAGTTCGCAGGTCTTGGTGGGCGGCAGGACAGACTCCTTTGTCGCCATCTCTTCACTTCCACATTTCACCCACGGCAAAGGCAAACTAGGGCAGCTGCTGCTGTCCCTGGCCCTCTGCAAGCATCTCTGCAGCCCTCCAAACTAAAGGGATTTGGCCAAGGCCCACATTAGGAGAGACTCCAGAGTGCTCGGGTTTGGTCAGATGGCAACAGCTTTCCGGATCCCTTTTCCGGATCCCAGAAAGCTGGGACAGGAGTTGGGGGGAATTATTTTCTCTCTCCTGATACTGGCCCTGCTTCCTTCTCCTTATGGCTCATTAATTTTAAGTTGGAGGTGGGGGTTGTATCTTAAGGCCTTCCTCTCCCCGCAGCTTCCATATGCCAGGCTCTGCATCTTGGGACGGCAATATGAAAGCACTGGAAATAAGTGTTGGCAATGGTGGGGAGAAACTCAAATTTCTGGGCATTGTTGATGGGATACAAAATGGTATTGCTGCTGTTGAAAACATAATGGGGACTCCATGGAGAAGTTACTTTGGGTTACCATGTGATCCAGCAATCAACGTGTTGTGTCTTCAATTAGAATGATTCCCATAGGCTTTGAATGCTTTGAATGTCCCCAGGGAGTGGCACTGTTTAAAAAGGATTGGAAGGATTGGGAGGTGTGGTCTTGTTGGAGGAAGTGTGTCCCTCCAGGTGAGCTCTGAAGTTTCAGAAAGACCATGCCAAACCCAGTCTCTCGTTCTCTCTGCTTTCAGATCAGGATGTATCTCTCAGCTACTTCTCCATCACTATGACTGCCTTCTGTCATCCCCTCTGTGATAATGGACTAAGCCTCTGAATCTGTTAAGCTCCCAATTAAATGCAATCTTTTGCAATAGTTGCCTTGGTTGCGGGACACTGGTATTTAAAATAGCACTATCGGGCTGGTAAGATGGCTCATTAAGTAACAGGCTTTGTCACCTAGTCTGATATCCTGAGTTGAACTCTTATAACCCACACAGTGGAAGGAAAGCAAAATCTCCTGAAAGCTGCTTTCTGATATTTGAGCATACAGACACACACACACACACACACTGTAAAATAAAATACTAGTATTATTCATGACAGCCAAAATGCAGAAACAAGTGCCCATTGACAGCTAGTTGGATAAGCAACAGGTAGTTTATACATATAATGGAATATCATTCACCCTTAAAGAGGGAGGAAGTACTATGATGTATTATAACATGCTATAACATGAATCAACTTCATCTTTGTCTATTTAGACAACTATGATAAAATTACTACAGACCCAACAGGAAGTCTAAGATCAAGGCATGAGCAGATTCCATCTTTGCTGAACCCCTGTATCCTGACAGACCCACAAAAGGGTCTAGTCGTCCTTGCAGATTCCTCTAGAAGGGCACTGAATCCAGCTGCGAGGTCATGATTGGGACTCATGACCTGATCCCTTTCTGTAGGCCCCAGTCATAATAACATCACTGCTGTTGTTTGGTTAAGTGTCCCCAAGTCCATGTGGTAAAGCCTTGGACCCTAGCATGGTACTGCGGAAAGCTGGTGGGACATTTAAGAGATGGCGCCTAGCTGGTAGACTTCAATGTATTAGGTAGAGACCTTGAATGTGACAGGGAGCCCCCAGATCCTGCTTTCCTGCCTGGGGTGAGAGATTTCACTCTACTAAAACAGATTACCACAAGCCAAAGCAATGGGGCAAACAACTCTGCCGTCTATAGAAATCTCTAGACTTGTGAGCAAAAATAAACCTTCTTGGTGAGCTCCCACTAGATCAGCCCCCTTTTCTCAGTGGGTGGGTGCGCCCCTCGTAGTCCGGACTTCTTGCTCATCTTCTCCCTCCTTCCACTCCTCATTGGGACCTTGGGAGCTCAGACCAGTGCTCCAGTGTGGGTCTCTGTCTCTATCTCCATCCATCACCAGATGAAGGTTCTATGGTGGTAAGCAAGATATTCGTCAGTATTGCTATAGGATAGGGTCATTTCAGGTTGCCTATCCTCAGCTGCCCAAGGGACTAACTGGGGACATCACCATGGGCTCCTGGGGCCACTCTAGGGTCAAGTCTCTTGCCAACCCTAAAGTGGCTCCCTTAACTAAGAATTGTGGTTCCGTGCTCCCCTGTCCAACCTTCCTTTATCCCAGCTGTGACTGAAAAAGCATGGGATAAAACCGGACTCTCTGAACATGGCAAACAATGAGGGCTGATGAGAAGCCAAGGACATTGGCACGGGGTTTTGACCCTACTTCATGTTCTGGCTTTGTGGGAGCCTAGCCAGTTTGGTTGTTCACCTTCCTAGACATGGACGGAGGGGGGCGGACCTTGGACTTTCCACAGAGCAGGGAACCCCGACTGCTCTATGGACTGGAGAGGGAGGGGGAGAGGAGTTTGGGGGAGGGGGAAAAGGGTGGGAGGAGGGGGAGGGAAATGGGAGGCTGGGAGGAGGCGGATACTTTTTTTTCCTTTTCTCAATAAAAAATAAATAAAATAAACCTTCCTTTTATATGCTGAATTTTTTTTGGGGGGAAGGGAGTTAGTTTTTCAAGACAGGGTTTGTCTGTAGACCAGACTGGCCTCAAACTTACCAAGATCCGCCTGTCTCTGCCTCTTGAATGCACCACCACCGCCCAGCCATTATATACTGATTTTTATATTGACGAGCTAACAGATAAGCAAAGTAAACAAACTCATTATAAAGTGAAAGAGGCTTGCCGGCTGTGAAGATTATCTCAACACACCGTGACCACAGCAGGGCCGGCTTACATTTCAAAGGTTTATTCCATTAGCATCATGGCAGGAAGCATGCCAGCACGTAGGCAGACAAGGTGCTGGAGAGGTAGCTGGGGTTCCACATCCAGCTTGGCAGGCAGCAGGAACAGAAAGTGACACACTGGACCTGGCTTGAGCTTCTGAGACCTCAAAGCCCATTCCCAGTGGCATACTTCCTCCAACGAAGCCACCCTTCTTCAACAAGGCCACACATACCTCCTAATTGTGCCATTTTGTGGGGGCCTGTGGGGATCATTTCCATTCAAACCACTACACAGGACAGAACATAGGAGAGTGGTTGCCAGGGTCAATAGAGATGGGAAGTAAGAAGTTGTATAGTGATATTTTATTTGTGCTTTAATAAATAAAGCTTACCTAAAGGTCAGAAGGGAAAAGCTAAACCACTGGAGGTCAGGCAGTGGTGGCACACAACTTTAACCCCAGGATTTGGGAGGCAGAAGCAGATGGATCTCTGTGAGTTCAAGGCCACCCTGGGCTACACAAGATCAATGCAGAAAACAAATCCAGGTGGTGGTGGCTCACACCTTTAATCCCAGTTCTAGGGAGTCATAGGCCCTTAATCCCAGCACTAGAGGGAATAGAAAATGAGAGGAGAGAGAGGCTTAGTTTGTTTAGTCTGCAGTCACCCAGCCTTGGTAGAGGTAAGACTTCTCTAGTGGCTTGGCTGCTTTGTGTTTCTGCTTTTCTGGTTAGACCCCCTAATATCTGTTCCTGGTTTTTATTATCCGTACTACAGAGTTGCCCTTGATGAGTGCAGAGCTTCAGCTGGGAATGGTGAAAAACTTCCAGGTATGCCAGCAGTGATTGCATGACAATATGAGTGCTTAACATCCTGAATTTTACACTAAAAATGGCTAAAACAGCAAACTATATTAGATAGATTATAGATAGATAGATAGATGATAGATTTTATCACAAATTTTAAGTGTGGGAAGAAATGGTGATCAGAAACCAGGAACAAATAAGAATATCTATATTATGTCCTTCAATAACAAATATTGCTCTTCCTCCCTTCTACCTGAGAGCAAAGTATCCAGGCTTTAAAATCAAGGACAAATCCATATCCCTCATTCCCAAACTGTGTAACTCTGAGAAAGTCACTATAACCTCTCTGACTTACACTTTTTTTTAGCTGTAAAGAAGAAAAAACAAACGCTTAACTCTCAGGGTTGTAAATGAGCTTCAGGATCTCTAGGCTCAGCTCAGGCCTGGGTGATCCATGGTACATCCCTCTGGGCACACACTGAGCATGCTTGGCTATTGGCTTCCCAGCTGTCTTCTCACTGTAATCCTCAAAGTTTATGGAAATTAGCCAAAGGTACCTGTGTGTGATTTCCACCAGCCTCAGTTTCCCGGTGAATAAATTGGTTGCCTTCCTTTGCTAAGGCAAACTCGGTGTGGTAGTAGACATGGCAGGAATGGTGCTGGAGAAGTAGCTGAGAGTTCTATATTCTGATCCATGGGCAGCAGGAAGAGAAGAGTGAGCCACTGAATGTCAAAAGCCCACCCCCAGTGACCCACCTCCTCAAACAAGCCATACTTCCTTTTTTGATATGTTTTGTTTTCATGGTGGCTTTTTTTGTTTTTTGTTTTCGTTTTTGTTTTTGTTTTGAGACAGGGTTTCGCTGTGTAGGTTTGGAATCTGTCCTGGAACTCACTCTGTAGACAGGCTGGCCTTGAACTCACAGAGAGTCGCCTACCTCCGCCTCCCAGGTGCTGGGATTAAAGGCCTGTGCCACCACGGCCCAGCTCCAGATAAATTTCTTATGCAGATAGCAATCAATACAAAGACTCAAAGCAGGTCAAAATACTGAAAATAAGTGACTGTTGGGTGTTCATTCCTAAATGTGACATATATATCATAACTCCTTATCCTCAAGACTCAGGGAACATCACAGAAGAGAAGATGGAAACATTTTAAGAGCCAGAGGTCAGGGAAGATTGCTGGGAACTAATGTCTTCTGGACGGAACAGGGCCAAAGAACTCATGGGTCCACAGGGGCTATAGACGGTGATCCAAAATGGCACAAGATCAACCCAGTCAACCGCAAGAGAAGGAAGGGACTCATGAGGCCCTACCTTTACCTGAGGAGCTACTGTCAGTCAGTGGATGCTGAGACAGGGAGAGTCAGCTTTCTTCAACAGTATGGCCTGTGGCAGGTTGCCCGTGTTTCAGTGGGTAGTGTCCTACAGTCATGTACAGACTGGCAGCACTAATTCGATATAATTTAAATGCACTATACTCATATGTGAAATTAC